CCTTTCTGATACTATAAACCCCGAACCCTAAACCCTCAAGCCGAAACCCCTAAACCCTACACCCCGACTCACATGCCCTAGCCTAAACTGCAAACCCTAAACCCTAACCGCCCTAACCCGCAAATCGGGTCGAGAGTCAACGGCTCCCCGAAGATGGCCCGTCATCTGCTGCTGCAAAGCAGCCTCCGCAGGATTTTGGGGCTTGATATACCGCTTTTGGACCTTAAAGGGGTTTACGACGCGGGGCTTATAGGGGGTTCAGGGTTTAGGGTTTGTTGTGGGATTCGGGTTTGGGTTTAGGGCTGTTATCCTCGGTTTAGGGGCTTACGGTCTAAGGTTTAGAGACCCTCAAGCGGCATTGGGCCCCCGAAGCAAAACCATTGACCCAAACGCGAGATGAAACCAGCCACAAGGCTTTCCGTCCAAATCTTGCTTAACTCAACTCATGAACATCCTATAATGACCAGCACGTGCGCCCAAAGCCCTAAACCCTGAACTGAAAAGCTGGCCAGGATCACCGAAATATTTGGGAGGGTCACAAAGCACCCAGCCAATTAGGCACTCAGGCTGTGCATATATCCTGTTTTGCTCAGCCGCTTTTTTGGTTAGGGTCATATAATATTTGGTTTACCACAACAAGGAGCTACCATGGAGACTGTAGGTAGGATCGCATTTAGGAAAGAATATGACTTACATAGGAAGGTCTTTCGAGCCCCCTGGGATGTGAACAGGAAGCCCTAAAGCCCAAACGCTACCTGGACCGAGAGAACCAAGGTTTTTCTGGCTCCTTATTATTGTTTGCGCATATAAATCCTGAATAAACAGCATGTTATGTAGGGTCCGGTAAACCCCACGGTCCAGATCTCAGCACTCTGGGATTTCGGGCAGTTTTCGGGATGTGCCTAGAGGACGTCGTGGGAAGTAAGTACGATGCTGAGACCCAAACCTTATACCATGCTTTCCGAACCCTGACTAGACCCGAATCGTAAACCTTGAACCATGGTTGGAAAAGCAGCAAAAAATCTTCAACTGCCGAAACCTCCAAGCCTAAAAACGGTCGAACCAAGTGCTGCCTTCTTTGCAAGCGCTTCTTGAACTGCTGGTGGAGCATCAGGGGCTGCAGCCTCTCAAAGAAGATCGGATAAAGGTTTACATGGATCCTGGAAAGCCCATCATTTTCCGTGCTTATGTAGGGAACTCAGTTGTCAAACTTATGGTCCCTTTTTGGGTACCCTCAATATTAGGTGCCGTATTATAATAAGGACCCAAAAAGGGACCATAATTTGGACAGCCACCCATACCAAAGAACCCTAAACAGGAAGGCATCGAGATGCATCGGGTCTTGGTCCTTGAGTTACCCTAAAGTTCTAAAGCCTGACAGCTTCGAGGGCTGAAGGTACCCTTAAACGATAGTGAACCCCAGAAAGTTGGAACATAGGTTTAGGAGGATCAGTGCTAGGATTCCCTATGCTTTGCTTTAAGGGCATGAGGCTAATTTATGATGTTCCAACTTTCTGGCTTCTAGTGTAAGCTCTAAACCCTCAACCTTGAACTAAACCCTAAACCCTCAACCTTAACCATGCTTCAGATGCCTACTCTCGGCTGGAGGATGCAGGTGCTTGGGATACTTGCATCGGCGCAAAGGAATTATAGGATTCAGCTCCATGGTTTCGGGTATCCAAACAGTATATACTTTGGGCCCAATGTACCTATATAGGGACTACATTAAGGCCAATGTACATACTATTTTGGTATATACATGGACCCTTAGGCTTCGGGTTTCGGGATGAATGCTAAGTTTAGGGTTTAGTGGGGTTAAGCGATTGAGGATTTGGATGGCGTAGTGGGGGGATGAATGCTTTGACCGGTATTGGCAATAAGGACATTCGGACACAGAGTGGTCGTTTTGTCTGAGGAGGTTTCGCGGATTCGTCGCCATGGAAGCCTAATGCAGGCATGGCTGTTGAAGAGTGGCCAACATCCCCACACCGTACGGAAGAACGCCCAATTGGACTCAAGTAACCAACGTCGTCAGACGTTTTCAACCAGTGCAAGCAGACGCGAAGGAAGTTTAGGATGCCCGGGGTTAATTTACACATACTTACGCGAAACCGGTGCTCTGCACACGGTCTGCAACCTAGTAGCCTCAAGCCTGGCAAGACGAGCCGGTAGACACTCAAATTACATCAGGAAAGCATAAACCCCAAACCCCTCATTGTCACACAAACCACAGAACCCAACCAAATCTATACTGAACTTAGAACCCTAGCAAACATTATAATTTTAGCTGCTTCTTAGGGATTATAATGAACAAAAAATTAAAAATATTTCTAAGTACCCCTAAGAAATCTATATACCCCGAAGCCCAGAATCCTAAAACTGCAGACCCCAACCGCAACTCTGGCTGTAGGCCAGCATAGGGCCTCCTTCCGCTCACGCCGCGCCAGGAGTGTGAGCAAAGCGCCTCCTCACGAAAGACTCTGTCTGCAAAAGCCGACGAACACGAAACCCTCTCCCCAAACACCCGACAATATGGCAAGATCCGGTTGGTGGGAACCACATCGCAAATCCTCTGCTTTGCTAATGTTGCAGGTCGACTTAGTCTCGCGGTCGCGTTGCTGCGACGAGGAACACAGTCATGTCATGTCCAGCATGTCTCAGTATGACTGGGCGGTGGTGATGCTGTTTTTGAACAAAGTCGAAGATAAGCCTGAACAAACCCTAAAGCCTGAGGCCTAAACCCTAGCTGCAGGGTGCTGGCTCTGAGACCCCTGACGATGGTTCGATGAGTATGGTGGCGGTGGAGGCGTCGGTGGTGCTTGTGACGGCGCCTACGCTGAGAGCTTAGGGTCTAGGTTCCGGGGTGGGTATATCAGAAAGCTGACGATTGTGCTATGCTGATTGTGTTAGTGACATTGTTGTAGCATGTGGCGACGACTTCGATGCGGACTATATGACGATGGTGATGATGATGGTGATGAGCCTGATGATGAAGCTGGTATTGATAGCATCTGCCGCTGGCTGACTGCATTCGACATGAGCCTGCTGCACCAGCTGCGATCAGTGCCACGTCCCGCCATGGGGGCTTCAGCGTCATGGTCGTGGCAGAAAAAAGCAATGACCGGTGTGCAGGGCGATGTTTGCCATGGTTCAACGGCGGCTGTATATGTAGCATTAAGGCTCAGCTCTTTGACGTGGGGATGCTCGGTTTATGAGTAGCACAGAGAGTTGCAGGTTCGGTTGGTGCACCGCACATAATTTCAGAAAGCATGCTGCAGAAGGTGCTGCTCCGAATCCAAACAGTACAACATGATATCATCGACATAGCAAAGTTGTTAAGTGCAGATGATGGGAGGTTGTTGCCATTTTTAATTGCCCAGTTATGAACAGCAAATATCGCAAAAAGAGCTAGCTGTCGTTGTTCAGTCTCGGGCACGGAAGCCGACGGAGTCACAGCTGCTGAAGTGCGGACAGAGTTGGGGTTTAGGGTTTAAGGTTTGAGTTCGCCTCTGCGCGCTACTCTCGACCAAGGCCATGCCCACCCGATCGAGGTGAAAAAACGTATCCGTTTCAGCCTTGCCCTATCATGTCTGCGATGGGCCTCCGTGCCCCCGCCCTCCACTCCAAGCTCCAAAAAACGCACTGCTGCTCTCCGTATACTCTCCAAAACCCTAGCCGACATAACTACTATCCTAAAACCGAGTACCTAATTACTGGGTCCTTTGGACCCCAATGGGTCTCTTCTGGCCTCCAGAACTCGACAGCCTTGGAAACAGACCCGGAAGCTAAAACCCTCGCGCTGGTGACAAGAGGAGAACGTCCTGAGGGTTTAGGGTTGATTAGTACCAAGATTCCTTTGGGTTCCGCATCTTAGTTTTACTTTGATGTAGTCCCATAGCCCTATCCTACTTACTTAAGTCTAGGGCACTGCCCAAGCTTCTTTAGAATTGGGGAAATTATGGTTCAGGTTTTAGACTTTACGGCGTTTAGGGTTAAGGGGTTTAATGTTTGGTGCCATTTTGTAGATACGCGTGTTGGTTATAACCATAAACTTGATACCATAAGGCCGTCAGCACTCACGTTCAAAGGAGTAATTAGAGACCAAAGCAGTTTGTTTTGGACGGTTTGAGCTGCAAGCCCTGGACCTTTCGAGCTTCCTGAGATGAACGGCATAATTCTACATTATACACGGCAACATGCTTGAGAAATAAAATCAGGAAACCCTATTAAACAATGTACCGGTCTAGGCGTCTTGTCATGTCCGCCTGTCTCTCTCTCTCTCTCTCTCTCTCTCTCTCTCTCTCTCTCTCCGTATATACACATGTCTATATGCACACATTGAAGCAAGTATATGTAAACGCAAGTGCATGTGCATTTATGTTAGCGTTCTGTGACTGAGTCCTGACTAAGCCGAAACGTAAGGGTTGCAGACAATGTAAGCCCGCTGGACGCCAGAAAGCCAAGACCCAAAACCCTAAATCCCTAAACACTCAATCCCAATGCCCTCAACTCTCAAACGCGATGATCTATAAACCCAAAATCCCTAAACACCCGAACCCTAAACCCCTAAAGCATGCAACCCCAAACCCCTAAACCCCACAGATCCCTTATAGAGCCCTTATAGATCCCTTCAAAGGAAGCCCTATAGATCCCTTCAAGGAACCCCTCTAGACCCCTTGAAGGCTTAGGGAACCCCTACAGATCCGTTGAAGCCTTTAAAGGAACCCTTCCAGATCCCTTTAAGGAACACCTCTCGATCCCCAACTTGGAGGATCATGGGACTTAGTAAGTACGGTTATAAATACTTGAATTAGGTTTATAAGTATGTATAAGTAGAGTTGCCGCAATTATAGCCCTAGTTACTAAGTCCCATGATCCTTTAAGTAGACCCTATAGATCCCTTATAGAACCCCTATAGATCCCTTGTAAGGAGCCCTTAAGGAACCCTAGCTACTAACTCCCATGATCCTTTAAGCAAGAAGAAAGCTGGGCCCCGAAACGCGGAGTAGAACGCCCACGCTGGCATCCAGGCGGCTCGCCATGGCTGCCTCGCTTCGAGGGGGTGCAAGGCCTCTTTTAACGGGGGATTTTAAAAGAATCCTTAAAGCGATCTTACCCAAGGGTCCATGAACCCAAATAGTATATACTTTGGGCCCAATGTACCTATATAGGGACTACATTGAAGCCAATGTATATACTATTTGGGTACATGGACCCTTAAACCCTAAACCCTATAGAGCCCTTATAGAACCCTTATAGTAGCCCTTAAAGGAGCCCTTAAAGGAACCCCCTATTTGGGTACATGGACCCTTAGGCTTAAGGGAGCCTGGTAGGGCAGGGTTTATGGATTAGGATTTAGGGGCTTTAAGGTTCCTTTACTGGACCCAAGAGTAACCTAGGAATAAAAAGGGTGCCCTTTTTGGTTTAAAGGGGCTTATAAGGGAACCTGAACCCTAAAAAAAGGAATAAGGGCCTACTCTGGGTCCTAGTTTAAGGTCCCTTGAACTTACAGGTTCCCTTCAAGGGCTACTTTCAGGGCAGGGTTTATGCTTTAGGGTTTAGGGGTTGAGTGTTACGGGTCTTGGGGTTCAGGGCTTTTGTCGATGAGTTTCTACGATGGTTCTAGAAGGGTCTGTTGAAAAGTTGTTCAAAGTCGTCCTGTTCATGCAGGTCCTCTAACAGGTTTACAGGATTCCTTTCAAGTTTGGGGAGGCATGTGAAGCATCTTACCGATATAAGAAATCATGGTCTAAGGATTCAGGGGATTGGGCTGAGGAGTTTCGGGTTTGGGGGCTTAGAAGTTAAGGGTTTAAGCAGGGTGTTCAAGTTTTAGGGTTCTTACAAGAGTTGTCTCACGATTGCTTGCCCCCGAAGCGGGTTGCCCAGCTACAGGTACAGAACGACCGGATTTCGAGCAAGTCAATGAACCCGAAACTCACAGGTGGCAAGCCGCAAACCCTAAACCCTAACATGTACACTGCGACAGTTGTAGTCGCCATGCCTTACCCTGAGGCCCTACGACCGCATGCACCCATAGAGTATGTATGTTTAACCATAGGCCCTAAAGATCCGTAACCGGGCAAAACTACAACGCTCGAAATATCAGTTACCTACTCGGCCTAGTCTTGCAGGCCAGACATGCAGATTCAAGAACACTGTACAACAACACCCGGAGAGGCCCTACGAGCAGTGGAGTTAAGCCCGACAAGGCCGCGCTTAGTCACAACATCCCCAAGATCACACCCCGATCCGTGTTTTCGCCCCATCAGCTGCATTTACTCAAATCAAGATCAGGGAAACCCAATGTGGACACCGCCTGGGTGTGGGCTTCAACAAACGTAACGACATGGACAACATGTCCGTGTGCCGCAGGGACTCGGGCCGTTTACATTGCGCATAAGTGAGCATGCAACAGTCATACTCGCGAAGCTAGATCCCGCGTGCACGCGTTTTGAAGTCAAGCGGCATCGCAGGTTGGTTTCTTTTCTCCGGTTTCTGCGATTTGGCAGGCCAAAAGGTGACCCACTGACGGCGACCGGCCGTTTCGAATTCCCAGTCGTCCAAACTTTGCGAGCGGAACCATAAACCCTTAAACCCTAAACCCTAAGCCCTAAACCCTGAACCGTAGGGTTTTAGGGTTTAGGGTCTCTCAGACTGGTCCCTGTCGGGCGTCTCCACAGGAGCCACCTATAACCCCAGGTCGACGAAGATTTGTACCTGAAGAATACGATAATGCCATTCTACTATAATATTCTAGTAATATTGAAGTGGTATAATAGTATAGTTTTATAGTATCATGGTATATACCATAATACTATAGTACTATACTACTATAATAGATTCGCATGCCGTCTGGGCGTTGCAGAAGCCACCCTCGCTTCCAAGCTCCGTTCCGTAGCTCTCAGGCCTTCTATATACTGGATTTGTCGTGCAGGCGCTTCAGCCTCCTTTCTGCTCAAAGCACTGCACATGCCGCATCGAAACTAAACCCTGAACCCTGAATCCCAACCCTAAACTCTGAAGCATAAACCCTTAAAGCCCTAAACCCTAAACCCCAAACTCTAAACCCTTAACCCTAAACCCTAAACCCTATAAGCCTATAAGCCCTAAAGCCTAAAGCCTTAACCCCAAACTTCAGACTTCCTGTGCTCAGTCGCCAGCTTCGGCTCGCTTGACGACGATGAGGCAGACGCATCCGTGACTTCTTCTTATTCTATCCCAAAGAGTCCAAGTAGTCCGTATTTATGGTTTTGGATACTTAAAAATGCCCTAAAGTCCTATAATAGGGAGTACTTGGACCCTCTGGGTACTAATAAGTCATTTTAAGCCTCTATGAATTCTAGGATTCAGCTCCATGGTTTCGGGTAAAGGGCTTAGGGTTTCGGGATTTAAGGTTACCTGGGGTACTAATAAGTGCGTGGTTATCATGTTGATCAATTTTTTGTTAGTATTACGGTCACTGCTACTATCTATCATCTGTCGATCGCGATGTGTGCTGCGCCGGCACCTTCCCCTCTCCATCCCATCGCCGGCACCGGCGTTCGGTCCGGGAAAGTTGTCACTTCAGCTGTTGCAGCCTGACCCCCAAACCCGAAATCAGAAAATCTCCAGTTTCAGTCTTGACTAAAGCCCGGGTCCAGGAACCCGAAGAGCCTTTTCAGGTCCGTGTAAGGATGTTTTTTTTGTAAGGCTTTTGTAGAAGCTTAAGTGGGTTGAAGGCGATGGCTTTGCGTTTCACGGTTTGGGGCTTATGCTTTGGCGGATTTCCGGTAGGGTTTGTCCAACACAAACCTTGAACAAGCTGAAGAAACGAACAGCCCGAAGCAACCAACCGATCCAGGTCTGCAAGGGTGTAATCTACTTACCGTTGGTTAGTAAGGAATGGAGGAATGGGGTACAATTATAACTACTATTACTACCATTCTTCCATTCCCTACTAACCAACGGTAAGTCTAGGGCCATTTAGGGATTTAGGAGCCTAACCTCTGCAACGATAGACCCCAAACCCTATAACCCTAAAGCCTCAGGAAAAACACACACACACACACATATCCCAACTCCTAAACCTAAACCCTCAACAATGTACCCCAAATCCTAAACCGTCAAAAACATATCCCGAATCCTAATCCGGTAAACGCTAAACCTTAAAAACACCATCCCGAATCCCAAACCTTGCACCCTCAACAAAACCGCCCCGTCCCAATTCGTAAACCCTGAACGCTGGACAAACAAAACATACCAAATAAGCAACCATGCTTGGAGGGTCATGGGACTTAGAAGTATAGTTACCCTAATTATGGCCCTAGTTACCAAGTCCCATGATCCTTTAAGTAAGCCCTATAGATCCCTTATAGAACGCCTATAGATCCCTTTTAAGGAGCCCTTTAAGGAACACTAGTTACTTTAAGTAAACCCTCAAAGCACAACCCGGATCCTTCGGACCCTGAACACTCGCCTCATCGGCCCGACTCCACACGGAGAGGCTCGCCTGGGACATCGGGGTGTTGTACTTAACTAACCAGTGGTTTTGGGGTTCCCTTGGCTCTTTGGCTCCTTATTTAGGAGGGACTATCATCATCCCTGGCTCCGTAGCTCCTCCAATATCAATGGTTAGTTAATATATACGGACCACACATACTTTTGCAAGAGAGGGGTGTTTTAAGGTATGTGAGGGGGCCTGAACGATGTGAAGCGGGTTGCATCAAGCCTATAAGCCCTAAACCCGGCCCTGAAACCCTAAGCCCTGAACTTCTGAACCAAACCCTAAACCCTAAACACTAAAACCCTAAACCCAAAACCCCTAAATCCTCTAAACCCAGAGCTGCTTGACATGGTTCTGGAAAATCGGCCTCAGAGTCATCTGAGATGTAGGACTGCGGCTTGCCGAGCTTGGGGGAGGACCTATTTTAGGGCTTCGAAAATCCAACAGTTTTGGGTTTGGGGTTGAAGGGTTAGGGGTTTAGGATTTTGTAAGCTTCAAGTAAGGGTTCAAGGGTTTAGGGCTTCGAGGTTTAAGGTTTGAAGGCATAGAAAGTTGATAAGCTCTAAGGGCTTAAGGGTTTAGGGCAGAGGGTCTGACGACGAAGATCCGTGGTGCGAGACCCACAGACGGAAATTTTAGTTTTAGATGTCCTCATGTGGCCTTGTGGGTGTAGGTTTTAGGGATTAGGGGTTTTGGACTTAAGTAGGGTATACGGTATAGGGTTTAGGTATGGCTTCGGGGTTTAGGGCGTAGGCGGCGTAGGGTTTGGGCTTGATGTTTCTGATCTGGATTTCAGGTTGTGATCCCTGCTTAGAGGGTCATGGGGCTGAGTAAGTAGGGTTCCTTAAAAGGGCTCCTTAAAAAGGGATCTATAGGGTTCCTGAAAGGGATGTATGGGGTTTAGGGTTTAGGATCCCTGCTGAAAGGATCATGGGACTTAGTAACCAGGGTTATAATTAGGGTAACTATACTTATAACTTATAGCTACTTGTAACCCCAATTCAGGTACTTATAACATTACTTACTAAGTCCCATGATCCTCCAAGTATGATAGCCCCATACTTGTTTTTCCTGGGTAGCTATAAATGGAGTTTAAAAGCAAACTGGTATTAGTTATAACTGTAGCTACCTTCCTCTTTCCCGAATGGACATCCAAGCAGTAGTCCCAATAACCCATTCCCCCATTCCGTACTAAGAACCAGACAGCCTTTAGGTGAATAGCTTCTGCTCCTGCCCTGTTGCACGTGGATCTGTACTGGAATTCGGGGGGATCGGGGCACAAGGCAGCTGCCTCTAAACCCTAAACCGTAATCCCCGGCCCAAACCCCAGACCCCAACACTAAACCCCGAACCCTAAACCTTCCAGATTTTCTTATGGATCCCTTCAAAGGAACCCTATAGATCCCGTTAAAGGAACCCTAGAAAAGCTGGTTGACCAGGCTTGTCTATTTGGAGGTTCATGAAGTTCATGGGTAGCTATAAATGAGATCCCCAAGCCCTCAACCCTATGTAAACCCTAAACCCTACATCCCCAAGCCCTCAAGCCCTAACGCTGTAAACCCTAGACGGTAAATCCCCAAACCATCAACCCTCAACCCTGTGTAAACCCTAAACCCTAAATCCCCAAGCCCTCAACCCTAAACGCTGCAAACCCTAAACCCCATATCTCCAAGCCCTCAACCCTGTATGCCTTTAACGCCGTCTTTACTACGGTTGATGATCTACATCCTGCATGACCCATAATAAGGAATATACCATAAATCCCATAGTTTAGGGCCCTTAAGGGTAATGCAGGGTTTATATCATCAACTAAACCCTAAACCCTAAACCCTAAACAGTAGTTCTGGGACTCCCGGCGGCTTTGCGGGCTGGTACATTGCCGATGCGGTTAGGGCCTCCAGCACAGCAGAGGGTCTCTATGCACGACACTACCCCAGACCCAAATAGGGTTCCTTTAAGGGCACCTTTAAGTGTTCCTTTAAGGGATCTATAGAGTTTTGGGTTTAATTAGGATCCTACACTACCAGTATGGAAATAGGTCCCAAAGCACCATCTCTGTGCTGGCTCTGGGGTCCCAATTCCGTACAAGCAGCACACATGGACCACCTTTTTAGCTGAATTCTAGAAGACCCTACCTAACATGGCTCCAGCATATAACTGGTTTCGTTGACGATATGACCTAGTCTAATTCGAGGAACATAAGCATAAAATTGTAACAATAATCCCAAAACTGATACCAATACTTCGAAAATCATTGACAATGCAAAAAAAGGTAATGCTACTACTACCACTGCTGCCAAAACAGTGAAAAATCATATTCATAAATGCCATAATAATGAAGATATAGCCTACGACCGGGAAGCGGAAGTGAATCAGCAGTTATTCCCCTATGCTATCATAGACCATACCTAGCATTTTGACATGCGCCTCTATATATATATATATATTTATATATATATATATATATATATATATATATATATATACATATATGCATGTATATATATATATATATACTCTCTTCGAACTCTGAACCCCTAAACAGTAAACCCAAAGCCCCTGAGCGCAGACTCGAAACCCTATAAGCCCACAAACCCTAAACCCCATAGACCCCTGATCATTACAACCCTTATGGATCCCTTAAAAGGAACCCCTATAGATCCCTTCAAGGAAACCCTATACACCCCTTTTAAAAGTACATGTCTGGACCCCATTTGACCCGAGTCGTGGAGCGTGAACCCAGATGTTGAAGTGCTGCGTCTTCGGGGATTCAAAATTTCAGGGCTTGAGGTCACGGATTCAGAGTTTGAATGTTAGCTCAAGGGTCAAGGAATTTCGGATAGTAAAATTTAAAGTAAAGGGTTTGATCTGAAACCATGGAGGTTTAAAAACTAGGGTTAACTGTTCATGAACTGAATGAAAGTCAATCAACTTCACGTTTAGATTCAGGGTTAACGGTTGTAGTCAAGGAATTAATTGCGAATTCTGATCACAGTGGACTGAGCAAGCCTGCCCCTAACCCCCAACCCGTAAACCCTTGTGGAGCCCGTACTGACACCGGTTGGATCCGTAAACCCTCAACCATGAACCCTTGAGAAGGGCTCATTGGGCTTCACTCGAGGAAGCCTTTCCAAGAGGGTCCATACATACTAGCAATATAGAATTCGGGCCCAAAGGTTTTGGGATCCAGAATAATACTGTATGTATGTATGTATGTATCCATGTATGCATGTATGTATGTATGTATGCATGTATGTATGTATGTATATATATATATATATATATACATATTCACATTCCCCCTCGGCATGGTAACAGGTGGCAGAAAGAAGAGAAGGGCCGTTTTGTGCGAACGCGCACTGCAACATCACTCGTCGCTGCTCACTTCTTCTGTCGCTGCCTATGGTTTCGGTCGATGATATAAATCCTGCATTACCTTCATGGCTCTAGACTATGGGAATTCAACCGTTTGCGGTGCATTAACTGTACCCAAAACCCTAAACCCTAAACCCCTGAATCCTACACGCCTAAACCCTAAACCCCTAAACCCTCAACCCTAAACCCTCTGCGGTGAATTACCTGTACCAACCGCAGGCATGAAAATTCCTCCCCGGCTCAGCAATGCAGGAGTGCCACGTCTCACGTCCCTTCTTGCTCAGCAGCCACTGGACCTTTGGCTTTTCGGGTCGGTAACCCCTACTGAAACGACCATGGGACTTCGTAGCTGGGGGTATACATATGGTAACTGTAAATAACTAATTATAATGTTGATGGACAAAATCCTGCATGGCCCTAAGGACTCTAAACTATGGTAACTATGGTATATTCCTTATAATGGGAGATGCAGGAATTTGTCCATCAGCCGTATTAAGAAGTACTTGTAACCCCAACTAAGGATCCGCTAACCTTACTTACTGAGTCACATGATCCTCCAAGTAATGCACACTACATCCCAGGATCCTCCGGCTCGCGGACGGAAACGTTAAACCTTGGTGTAACATTGTTGGTCTGCTACAATCTATGATAGGGTTTAGGGTTTTATCCGCAGTTATCCTAAACGGATGTCACTGGGAATTCTGGATATGTGCCTAAGATGCAAGAATGCAGGAAGCTGTCCATTAGTAATACGTAATCCCGAGGTCTAAATGATGTGGGAGTCTCAAAAAGCACAGGACTCGATTTAAACCCTGTAGATTGGGATCCTCTCCCAGAACCGAGCGTCAGATGTACACGGTTTCTGGCTTCTGTGCTGATTGAACGTTCCTGCATCTGCACTGGCTTGGATTTGAGGCAAAAACACGACTTTCTAGGGACTATAAGGAATGTTATTGCTCATTAGTCAGACCTATGAACTACATTCTGCATGTGACATAGCTTAGGTTTACAGTCAAGCTTAGGCTGTCGGGATACGGTTTGAACAAGACGAAGCTATCTGAAACCGATATTTCCGAAACGCGCCACCATGCAAGACTGTGGCAGCTCGCGGTAGCGATTGCAAAGCACCCAGAGCAAGAACATGACTAGTACTAGACCCAAGAGTAACCTAGGAATAAAAAGGGTGCCCTTTTTGGTTTGAGGGGGCTTATAAGGGAACCTAAACCCTAAAAAAGGAAATGAGGGCCTACTCTGGGTCCTAGAGTATCTGCGGGTAGCGAGGCAGAAAGCAGCAGTAGCGGGCACATTGTAAGGGATAACAGCTACATTCGCACCGTTGTGACGCAAGCAGGACAATTAGAATAGTGCTTTGGGGCCCGTTATACAATAATATCATAAGGAACCCCAAAATAATGTAATTATTAAGGCCCCTACATTACCAAGATGCGTTGGAGTTTGGGATTCAAGACCCAGGGCTCCTTCAGCATTAATTGACTAGCTTCCTCAGTAACCCATCAGTAGTAAGGGTACCGCTTTTCCCAATATTCAGTCTTTAATAAGGAGCCCCCAACCCAAAAAGGGCAAATGGGTACTGCTCAGGAACCTAGTTGAGGGTTCAGGATCTAGGATTCGCTTGCGACCAAGGAACCAAAGTCCAAGGGCTGCAGGCGCCAGGGTTGAAGGGGAACATCTTCCTGGGATTTATTGGGGGGCTGGGGTATAGAGACTGAAAAGCAGGACCTTATTTCCCAGTGGCCTAGGACCTCCAGGAGCCAGAATGATACGTTAATCCAATATCACAATAGACATGATGAAGAAGAAAAGAAGCAAAGAAACCCAATTAAATCCGAGTAGAGTGTAGAGTGGGTGGCCGGGGTGGGTTTACTGGCAACGCGAGGGCGCGGCCCGGGGTGCTTCACTTCACACCCGAACGCGCACCCTCGCCTGACACACCCTAAACCCTAAACCCCAATTCCTAAAACTCTAAACCCCTAAAACCCTGAACCCTGAACTCAAAGCCCTGAAACTCCAAACCCCTAAAATCCTGAACCCTAAATCCTAAACCCTTAAAGCTCTAAGGGGGGTTTCCGAAAATAGGGAGCTCAAGAATAGTACCCTAAATCATAGGATCCTTATTATCAGGATCCCAAAACAAGGTACCCCTCATTCTCGGAAACCCCGAAAAGGAGCCTTAGCCGGCCCATTATGGAACCCTTACCCTAAGGGTCCATGTACCCCAATAGTTTATACATTGGCCTTAATGTAGTCCTATTTAGGTACATTGGGCCCAAAGTATATACTATTTGGATACATGGACCCTTAGGGTTCTAAACCCCTTTAAGGAAAAGGATCCCTTCAAAGGGACTTACAGTACAGTAAGGAATCTATAAGGGTTTAGGATTTTAAGGGTTCCCTTAGAGGGGTCTCGAAGCCTGGGATGTTTAGGGATTTAGGGTTTAGGGTTTAGGGTTTAGGGTTTAGGGTTTAGGGCTACTTACAGTAAAGCCCATAAAGTTGGAAACCGGATGAAGGCCAAATAGTGCTGGGATTCCCTATACATTACTCTTAAGGATTGAGGCTACTGGGTTTCCAACTTTTGAGCCTCTCCTGTAAACCCCACACCTTCGAACTTCGAACCTCTTCTATGATGCAGGGCTTCATTGACTCATAGACTTTAGGGCTGCTGCATCTAAAGTCTTAAGGCCCCAAAGGAGCCTCGAAAAGCACATAAGCAAAAATCAGGGTAGGGATATCCCACTTACATCCCCTTAGAATGAAGCCCAATAAGGTGCGGATATCCCCATAAACCCTAAACCCTAAACCCTGGCTTTTTTGGCCCCTGACAAGAGGCTTCAGATCTTCCGAGCGAGGCTGCGCATCGGGGGAAGCGGTCGGGTTGCCAATGGTGGAAGACCAGACCTTAGGCTTTTAGGGTTCCTTAAAGGGCTCCCTAAAAGGGATCTATAGGGTTCTATAAGGGATCTATAGGGGTACTTAGGCTTTTTTTGTTAAGCGCCTCTTTTCCGACTTGCAGGTGCCTGCTGAGTGGTTCAAAGGGAAAGTGCAGAGTGGCTCGTAACTAGCCCATTTGCCTTCCCAGTAGGGATTTTCGGCAGAGCTTAGGCGTTTAGGGATTAGGGTTTAGGGGGCTTTAGGCTTTTAGGCTTTTAGGGTTCAGGGGGCTTCAAGGTTTTAGGGGTTTAGGGTTTAGGGGGCTTTTATAAATAGGGTTCTGTGAGGGATCTATGACCTATAAGGGTTTTAGAATAAGGATCTATAGGGTCTCGGGTTTTAGGGGTTGGGGGATGCCAGGGTTCAGGGTTTATCTTTGCCTGGCTTAGAAATTGCAGGATTACGGGCTTGTATAAGCCCTCAGGGTCCAAGTACCTAATAATCGTATACTCTCCAAAACCCTAACCTACATAACTACTATCCTAAAACCGAGTACCTAAGTATTAAGGCCCATATAATGGAACCCTTACAGTAGCCCTTTTAAAGGAAACCTTATAGAACCCGTTAAAGGAACCCTAATTAGTGGGTCCTTTGGAGGATTCCGGAAGAATCGTTTCAGACCAGGCACGGCCGCCACAAGCTTTGAGCAAAACATCGCCTTGGGTGTTGAGCTCTTTTCAGGGGTTGGTTATAGGGTAGGCCTTTGGGGGTTTAGGGTTTAAGGTTGTGGGGTTTAGGGGTTTAGGGTTGAGGGTTGTAGGGTGTAGGGGTTTAGAGGTTTAGGGGTTTAGAGGTTGAAGGGTTTAGGGGCTTTCAAATTTCTACAGACTTGGGAGAGCCTCACAGGCCAGGCCTGCGCAGAATGTAACTCCAGTAGATGAGAGCTCCGGGCTTGGGGTTTAGGATTTAGGGTTTAGGGTGTGGGGGGTTTAGGGTCCCCTACTAGGGGTCAAAAAAACCCTTTAATTAGGCATGCGGGTGTAGGCTAGTAGTTATGTGGGTTACAATCTGGGAGGGTATATGGGTGGTTGTTAAAATTATGGTCCCTTTTTGGGTCCCTATGAAAATACAGCACCTATTATTTATATGGTAATCTAGTACTTGGACCCAAAGGGTTGATGTCTTAGTGACTTGTCAGTGCATGGTATCTGAAGACAATGGCCCATGTTTAGGTGTTACTGAAGGGGCCTCCGTGATTAGAATATGGGTTTGAAGCATGTTTAGGCATAGTTCTACGAAGGAACCTTCCCAAGAAATACTCTTGATAGCTACTTAAAGGATCATGGGACTTACTAACTAGCCTTAAAATTAAGGTAACTGTACTTATACCTTCTTATAACCCCAATTATGGGACTTATAACCCCACTTACTAAGTCCCATGATCCTCCAAGTACTCCGACCCCATCTTTCTTCACCCTTGTCATTCTTCAGCCATGCAGAAGAGAGACTCATCCAGCTCACCTTCAGATCATGGTTTCGCAGAAAACACCAGAACAACTCATTAATCGGCACCGAACGCACACCCCTACACCCTAAACCCTTAACCCTAAAAACCCCCAAACCCTAAAGCAATAAACCCGTGAACCCTAAACTCTTGACCCTCAAACCCTAAAACAGTGAAATGCTTGAAACCCCGAATTCCCGACACCATGCCGCTCAAGCCTTCGGCTTGATCCGGGTGTGGTTGCTGTGGTTGGTGCTAGCCTCAGCGAAGGGATTTGGGGGCTTGTGAAAATTAAGCGTACCTTGTTTGCGGTCCTTATAATACGGATTCTACTATTTGGGTACTAAACTAGGGTCCCCTGTTTTCTCAAAGTTGAATTTCTGATTAGCCCAGCAAATATGCTTCCGTCGCACTGTCGTGCATATGTTCGGGATGCAATCGAGCCGAAAAAGTCTGGTGCGCATTTTGGACTATTTCCATAAGTGTTGCTATGACAATGCCTATCAGTGTTGTTTTCATTCCACACCCTTGGTCTGGGGTTGCTAGAGTTTAACTCAGCTATTCTCCGGTCTACTCCTCGCCCGGTCTTTCACTTCAGAGTGCCCAACCCGAAGAGTCACTGGAGTGCCCAGAGAATACCATCACGGTTGATGATAGAAATCCTGCATTACCTTAAGGACCCTAAACTATGGGAATTATGGCATATTCCTTTTTATGGGTAATGCAGAATTTATACCATCAACCACAGTATCCCTTCATCTGCAAGGGGGTTTGTTCGAAGTAGATCACCCTGAGGGTCCGTGTACCCATATATTAAGTGTGCAGCAGGGGCCATCATGGGGGATATTTTGCGAAATCGTAATAGAGTTCCCAATATACAAACCCTACACTCTAGTGTGTGTATTTATATAGGTACTTTGGACCCTTCCCTAAGGCTCCTGGACCCTTGGAGGAAGGTCCCAAACCCCAGCCCCCAAAGCCGAAACCCTCCCCCAGAAGTCCCAAGGCCCTGTTTGGAGCCTCAGGGTTTGAACTTTGTATGCATGGCTTTTGGGAGGCGTGCCATGAAAAGACCCCTAAACCCTAAACTCCTAAACCGTATACCCTTCATCGCTCTGTGTTATCATGGCAGTACAGAAAGCCCTAAACCCTGAACCCGGGGTTCGGGGGCGTCTTCAGAGTTCTAAATCGGGGGCTGATGGGTTCGGGGTTTAGGGTTTAGGGTTTAGGCTTCAAGTCTATAGATGTCTCGCCTCTCTAGAGTTTATGCTTTATGTTAAACAAACGCTTTGTAAGGTTTCTGTAAACTAGGAGGTGCGTTTAAAGCCCTTGAAAACTTTAGTAGGTAAGATCATCTTAAGCCCAATAAGAGCAAATATAAAATGTCCCAAAGCCCTACCTAGTAAAAGGTTCTGCAACGGCTGTGCAAGGGTTGCTGTTGCTAGGGTTCAGAGTTTAGGGGTCAAGGTTGACGGGTGCTGTCTAGGGTTGAGGGTTTAGGGGCTTAGAGTTGAGGGGGCTGGGGACCAACCCTACAGAATCCCGGTTTAGGGCTTAGGGTTTTAGGGTTTTAGGGTCTAGGGTTTAGGGTTAAGGCCTATGACACCTACGCCAGCAGCACCGAGATGCATGTGTGCGGAAATTGTCGCGCATGCCGTCGAAGAATCCTCTCTCCTCAGATTTCCAATTTTTGGGTGCCTTCATATCGCAATAGGGTTGGGGGTGGGCAAAGGTGGGGTGGCTGTGTCAGTGTCTGGCAGTTGCAGTCGTTATACTATGGTCTTGCCGAAAACTGAGATAGATTGATTTTTCCCTAGTTCCGTGTCTATGCTGAACTTAGACCCCTAGGAAAAATTGTAACTTTAGCAGTTTCTTGCGGATTATACTAACCAAAGATTATAAAGGATTCTAAGTGCCCCTAGGGCTTCCCTACTTTGCCTACTTACCCTAAACCCTAAACCCTGACCCTTAAACCCTAAACTCTAACCCCCTAAACCCTTAACCCTAAACCCTAAAGCCTTAAACCCTGAAGCTCTAAACCCTAACGTGTTTCCCTAAATTCGTGTGGCATCTCTGCTTTGGCGATGTCTTCCTTGAAGGCTCCAATGTGTTCTGGTCTGGGGCTTTGATACTCGGATAACATGCCTTCACCCTGACTTATATTACTACCCCAATAAGCCACAGGAATGATAAACTGTCCGGCTACTACTAAACTATAAGAACCCGAAAAGGTTAAAGGTTGGGTATTGGGGAACTAAGCTGAAGACCCTAGACCCTCACACTAAATCCCGAAATCTTCGTCCGACCGCATCCAGCATCCCAACGACAAAAATCAACTCGGAAAATCGTAACCTCAACGGCTTCTGGCTCTGGTTCGGGATCAGGGCCGTGGGTGGGGTTATTTAAGGGTTTCAACAGTGTATAGAACAATGGCACAAAACCTAGTAACAAGGCACTTATTCTACATCGTTACATACTTTCGGGATCCAGGTAGCGCTTTTGATGTTGGGGTGCACCCTAAACCCTAAACCCTAAAACCCTAACACCCTAAAACCCTAACACCCTAAAACCCTGAAACCCTAAACCCAAAAACCCTAAAACCCTAAAACCCTAAATCCAGGGTTTTGGAGAGTATACGATTATTAGGTACTTGGACCCTTGGGGTGACGGCTTGCGGCCTTACGTGCCTTGCTTCTGATTGCACCCCAACTACTTCCTACACTGTAAGACCCGAATTGCAACACCTCTGCGGTAAGCCCAGTATGGTCAGGGTGTTTTTTTTTTTTTTTGTTGTGGCCCCTTTTTGCTCGGGCCCCGTGTCAATGGTTTCTAGAATTTTTTTTGCTGCGGTCCCAGGGCGTGCAAGGTGTTTTTTTTTTTGCTCCGGCCCCGCCGAAAGGCAGGGGAAAGAGCGGGGCCAGAGCAAAAAAAAAAACACCACCCAGACCCTGCCCCGGAAGGGTCGCCCCGGCCCACAGTGAGTGAGTGAGCTTCCGGGCGGGGCCGCAGCAAAAAAAAAAACACCCCGACGGCGAGCGGGGCCGCAGCAAAAAAAAAAAACACCACTCCGGCGGAGGAGAAAGCATCGCTGCCCAGGCCCGCGCCCCGAAAAGGTCGCCCCGGCCCACAGTGAGTGAGTGAGCGTCCGGGCGGGGCCGCAGCAAAAAAAAAAACACCACCCAGACCCTGCCCCGGAAGGGTCGCCCCGGCCCACAGTGAGTGAGTGAGCTTCCGGGCGGGGCCGCAGCATAAAAAAAAAACACCATCCGGGAGTGGTGTTTTTTTTTTTGCTGCGGCCCCGCTCGCCGTCGGGGTGTTTTTTTTTTTGCTGCGGCCCCGCCCGGAAGCTCACTCACTCACTGTGGGCCGGGGCGACCCTTCCGGGGCAGGGTCTGGGTGGTGTTTTTTTTTTTGCTCTGGCCCCGCTCTTTCCCCTGCCTTTCGGCGGGGCCGGAGCAAAAAAAAAAAACACCTTGCACGGCCGCCCGGACACTCACTCACTCACTGTGGGCCGGGGCGACCTTTTCGGTGCGCGGGCCTAGGCAGCGATGCTTTCTCCTCCGCCGGAGTGGTGTTTTTTTTTTTGCTGCGGCCCCCGCCGAACTCGGCGAGCCAATAACAAAAAATGTCTGGTGTACTACATCGGGTCTAAAAAGACCCGGCGGGGCCACAGCAAAAAAAAAAACACCACTTCCAGTATGGTCCGTATGGTCAGTATTTCGAAGGACGAGATGTTGCAACCCTCTGTGCATTCTTGGACTTGAGGGTTGTTCACAGGGATTCAAAGAATGGCGCTTGGAAGAAAGAACACGATAAGTACCTCTAGTCTGCAGCGTAGTTCCTTTTTCTAGTTGAACAAATTTTATACTAAGGGTCGTATAAGGTAACCCCAAAAAGAAACGACAATGGAGACTATAGGTACTCACGGGTGTCGCCATGGACTATGCCGGGTCGCAGTGTCCTGCTCGCTCGGGGTGTAGTTCCACATCTCCTGATCCCCCAAATTATGAAGCCTTAAAGAGGGGCCTTAATAAGTAGAATTGGGTTTTGGGGCGAAGCGGACTGAACGTCGGGGCGATCAAATAAGAAGCAGAGTGAAAGGTGCACCCTCTTGAACAAGAACTCTCAGAGCAAATTATGCTCTAAGCTTCTCAACGATACGACTAACAGATTGAATCATGGCACCGAATTCTTGGTGCCATTGATTGAGAGTGGCTACTGGGTTTTGGGACACCTTTAAAGCGGTTCCTTTAAGGGATACTTTAAGGGGGAGTATGGGGGTTTAGTATAGGGGCCTTAATAATTGGAATAGGGTTTTGGGGCCCATGCTACCAGTCATAGTAAGGAAATCTGTATAGGTAATTATTAAGGCCCCTATCAGGGCTCCATTCAAGGGCCATTGGGGGATCCTCGATATTATGAGTCCTAAACATCCAGGGCAAGGTGGGCTCTGAACCACAATCGTAGAGCATTTGAGGAATAATCGTGCCCTCGAAGCCCATCTATTCCAAGGGTAAAAGGAGGGACCCTTAATATGGACCCCTAGGTATATACCCTTAATATAGCCTTTATATACCCATTATATAGCCCATTTTAGGGTAGGGGTCCCCATTAAGGGTCCCTCCTTTTCCCCTTTGATCTACATACGGACACGATATAGGCACAAATAGCTGTAGGCATGGTTGCAGACAAGGGTATAGGTACAACACCTGATGTTGCACCAGTATTGTCATGTACTGACTAAGTCCCATGATCCTCCAAGTAATCCTAAGGGTCCACAGGACCCAATAATTAGGTACTCTGTTGTAGGATACTAGTTATGGAGGTTAGGATTTCGGAGAGTATATGATTGTTAGGTACTTGGATCCTTGGGGATAATGTAGGGGCCTTAATGACTTTAATGGGCTTTTTGGCCCAATATACTATACTTGTCATAAGGAACCACCAAAATAGTACAGTAATTATTGAGGCCCCTATAGTGCCGTAAACAGCAACCGTGAACCGCTTCGGGCTAAGAGGTATCAGGATTTAGGGTTCAGGCGTACCCGAAATGTAGAACCTGAACCTTCAGCCCCGAAACACTGGTCCCTTAGTGTCATAACATGCAATTTGCTTTCTGACGGAATGCGCAAAACCCCCAGTATTATCCACACGGTATCCTAAACTCTAAACCCTAAAACCCATAGACCCTAAACCCTAAAAACCCTAAAACACTAAACCCTAAAACCACTAAAAAAAACCAAACCCTAAAACCCTAAACCCTAAACCCCTAAAACCCTACAACCTTAAACCCCAGACGCAAAGTAGGCCTAAGGGTCCATGTACTCATATAGTATATACATTGGCCTTAATGTAGTCCCTATTTGGGCACTTTGGGGCCCATGTATCTATACATGGGTACATGGACCCTCAGGATAGGGCTCTTGTACTTCCGGCGAAACCCAAAAGAGGAACCGATTCAGCACTCGAGCACGGAAGCTTTCCCCTAAAGTTTGGTTTACCAGGAGCCCCCCCCCAAGGGCTCTTTAATGGAGTCCGAATGGTCCTTAATTGAGGGTATTTAGCATAAATTAGAGGGTAGTTGGGGGGTCTGGTCTAAGTAGGGTCTAGAAGGTTTCAGGGCTTAGAGTGTAAGGGATAAGTGGTTTAGGGGATTCGGGGTTTAGGGCGCAGGGCAGTTGCTCCTCCACCCTCTCTGGTGTGACAGCTTCAAAATATTCCGACTTTCCCGGCGTGCCAAGCCATGACATGCAGTGACCTCTGCTGCGGTTCAGGGTTCAGGGTTTGGGATCGAGTTTAGATCCAGATCTGGCGCAGGGCTGGGGGTTGGCCTGCTATGCTTATAATGCTCAAATAGTACCAACCAAGCATCTCAAGTAATTGCACCCTACCCAAACCCTGACCCTAGCGTTGAAACTCTGCACCCTGAATTTCAGATTGCACCAGCTGTTCTGCTCTTGCTAGAAGTTGCGGGCAGTCGAGCCGTTTCCAGGATTTGGGAATCCAGGTTCTGGCTTCAGTGCACGATATGAAACTTGGCTGACTTCTGCACCCCTCCAACAAGTTAAACTCTTAGCCTCCTTGTTATAGTTCATAGAGAAAGCCAACAAGGTAAAGTCCTAAGAGCCAACCAGAAGAACACCAAGGAAAGACGATCAGGAACGTTGGTGTGTAGATTGTAAGCATGGTAGCCGGGTCCGAAGCAGGATGGTCCCAACTTGGAAAAACACAGAACTGGCTGACGTCTGCGAGTCGCACGCGACTACATTATTTAGGAACAGCCTAAACAGAAACAAATAAATAAGTATCTATCTATATATATATATATATAGAATCCCACGTATAACCCGGCCTAGGACTGTTTCCTGTATGTCTGTTGGCGCGCCGGGCTAATGGCAATTGGACTTGTCAACGGACAGAGGCAGTCGGAACGGCTTTGTCGGAACTTCAAGTTGTTGGATTTGCCTGAACGTTCACGGGCAACGCTGTATGGATGTACCCCTGGGCATCAAAATAGCACAAAAGCCTTATATAGTATGGTCTTTGGGCCCAAAAGCCTTAATATATATGAGTCCTTAGATGCAGAGGGTACTGTTTTCTGTACCCGAGTACCTGCGTTGGGGCGATGACTAGCTGTTTGTGTCGTCACCCGACTTGTACCTGTACATCGTCTGCATTACATTATCCATGACAAATAAGCAATAGACCCTTCAAGGGCTCCTTAAAGGGATCTATACGGGTTCTACAGGGTTTAGCATGTAATGTAGGGGCCTAAATAACCAATACTATAAGAAAGTCTTGACGAGGCTTAACCTGAATCCTGAACTGACGGCATCTGCAGCTTGCTCCAAAACGAGATTGCCTTCCAAGCATAGATGTTAACATATGTTAACGGAGGATTTAGGGGTTTAGGGTTTGAGGGTGTATAAGGCATTAAGGAAATAAGTCCCTGGAACTGTGCCACTCAGACAATTCTTGAGTCTTTCGCAATATCATCGATGCGTACGAATACCGGCGCCACCTGTTCGAAACGTCAAGCCCGGAGTAGGCGAGTTGCCGAAAACAGCTCTGTGCCACTGCCCCACAGTGTCTGCATAGTGGCCAAGATACCTGAGAGGAGAGCTCCGGTTGATCCTAGGGTTCCTTTAAAGGGATCTATAAGGCTACCTTTAAGGGGCTCCTTTAAGGGATCTATAGGGTTTTAGGGTTCAGGGTTTAGGATTGATGATATAAATCCTGCATTACCTATAATCAGGAATGTACCATAATTTCCGTAGTTTAGGACCTCAAGGTAATGCAGGATTTATATCATCAACCGAGAGCTCCCACTGAATCAACCAGGCTTCAGGATAGTTTTGTGGATGCTTTTAGGGATTACAGGGAACTCCAGAAAGTTGGAATATGGATTCATGGTAGGATACCCGATAATTTACCATAGAAGGGTTAGGATAATCATATCCCTAAACCCTAAACCCTAACTTTCTCGCTTCTACCGGAGGGGCTCAGGGTCTGAGGGTATAATTTAGCCCTCAAGCCAGGCGTCACACTGCCTAGCATACCCAGTACCCTAAGAATAAGAAGGCCTCTCTTTTTGGTATTGGGTAACTTTATAAGGAACCTAGGACTACAAAAAGGGAATAAGGGTACTACTGGGCATCCTAGCTGCAGGAAAAGAGCCTTGCGTCAATAAACTTCACTTACCAGCGCATCCGACTAGCCGCATTAACGTCCACTACGACCCCATCCAGTCCCCAGCTACGACCCCGTCCCTGCCACATCCATATTGACGTCTGTTTTAGACTGCATCCGTTTGGCAGGCCCAATGGTAACGTCCATGGACTCATCCGTTTCCAAGCCAGAGCATTCATGCACCAAGCATGGGGCCAGAGCATCCATGGCTCAACCAATATAACGTCCATGGTCTTGTCCGCTTTGACGCCAGAGCGATGCTGAAGAAAATCATGCAAACTCATCTTGCGCATAATTTGGGCTTTGGGTTTAGGGTTTGCCGTTGCGATCAGTTTCGCAGCAGGCGCCCTCAAGCCTCAACTGTGGCTCGCTGGTGCACCTGCCAACAAACTCGACCATGTCTCGAAACTGAAGCAGCTTTCACCGAAAAGGCTGGCTGGATGGTCGTTCCCTCAGGGTCCATGCGGCCATGTAGTAATTGCTTTGGCCTTAAAGTCTCCCATCTGGGTACTGTAAGGCCAAAGTATATACTATCTGGGCACATGGACCCTTAAGGGTTCTTAAGCAAAGCACCTGGCACAAACCTTCTTGGAGAGTGTGCCAAAGCTCTGAACGTTACATCTTCCAGCAAGACCCTAAACCCTAAACCCTAAACCCTAAACCCTAAACCCTAAACCCTAAACACTCCCTTCCAACGAGGCTTAGGGGTCTAGGAGTTGGGACTTAACGGCAGACGTATAGCATGGAATGGAGTAGAATCGCATCCTCAGTAGATTAAAGTATAGTTTTGATAAAAAAAACATAGTACAGTACAGAAAAGTCCAGTACAGTACACCATATGTAGAATAGTGTAGTCTAATATTGCATCGGGTGGTATAGTGTAGTATAGGGTTGCTACTATAACACCGTATAGTGAAATCCAGTGCAGCACCGTATAGTACAGTATAAAACAATATAATACAGTATAGCATAGTAAGGTACAGTAAAGTAAAAGTATAGTATAGCATGCCATATATAGCATAGAGTATATACAGTATAGAGCATACAGTATACTGTATACTGTGGCAGGACGACAGTTCGTCGCATCCGCAAGTTCTATGTACGCAAACTTAGCCACCCCCTTACCTTCTGGACTCCTCCAAGAACTAAGTTCTTGGGGCCCGGAGGTTGCAAAATCCTCGGGCTGAACAAGAAAATGATGCATGTCAAAACAGCTTGTTAGTTCCTCCGCCGGCCAGGCCACCCAAAATGCACTTACTGGTACTCCGCGTCCTCCTCCAACCACAGAAGTTGAAATTAGGACGAAACTTTCATCCTGGTGATTCCTGGTGATGTATAGAGCCTAACGGCCTAAACCTTACACCGAAAACCCTAAACTAATGAAGGCTGGGTACGGCTCCCACATGAGCGCCCGCTCAGCAGCTAGCTTCCGATAGGCGGCCGCATTGACCTGTTGAGCTCTGGTTGTTGGCTTGAGCCGAATCTCAATCTAGAGCGCGAACTCGATGCCCTAAACTCCTAAACTCTACATCCCACACCCTAACTACGCAGTAATGAATCCCCAGCTCTACAGGTAATTGTTCCACTGCGGCACTCCATTTACTATAAAAAATGAAAAGAATCCTCCACAACAATATTTGCAATTATATTGAGGCCCCTATAGTAACCCCTACACTCTAAACCGTAAGCACAGACATGTCGTTGTAGGAACCAGACAACTTGGAGCTTCTTGAATGACAATATGGGGGGCGTAGCCTTTGTCCAACATGTCGTGGTCTGGATGAACAGGAATCAGGAATACTACTATTCCGAATAGCTCCTTGTTTTTATGGGAATAGATTAGGCATCTGTATCCTATTCCTCACGGCTCATTGTTAAAGTACGGACCATTCCCCCTAAAAAAACATCCTAACACCCTTCTCTAGTTGTTGAGGACCCTGTTAATTACGACGGCACCCTAAGCCTACCTTGAGGCTCGATGGGCTTGAAAAGGTAGACCAGTGTTAGGCTATGTTGTACGGATCCTTGTTGGTGTGATACATACTGTTTCTAGACCGCTTGGTACCTGTGCATGTGCGTACCCCTAAATCTTCTAAGATAAGCCCAAAACCCTACACCCATATCACCATCCATCCGATGTCCCAGACCATCCCGCACCCCGTGAGCCTCATTCCTCCCTACGCCCAAACGATCCATTCGTGAACATACTTATTCACAACATCAACACACAGGAGATCCCGTCAAAACACAAAGCTACAAATATCTTTGCACAAGTGGGTTCCAAATCACACCAGTGACTCTAAACCCGCTCACAGGCTTCACTAAGCCATATATGCCCGAGTTTACAGGAAGTCCTTTATGCGATCTAAACTACATTCGCTCTTGACGGGAGATTGGAACCCATAGGGCGCACTTGTCATCTCTACACTAGGATGCCCAGTAACCTAGCAATAAACAGGGTTCCCTTTTTGGTATTGGGTAACTGTACAAGGAACCTAGGACTACAAAAAGGGAATAAGGGTACTGCTGGGCATCCTAGTACAACAGCCCGAAGCAAAGAAACACATAGGCCAGGCACGGTTCCGTCGCCAACGAAGCGTGAAATCACGATTTCCCCAGGATTCCTGAGCTCACAACAAGTCAAACCCTAAACCCTAAACCCTAAACCCTAAACCGTGGGTTGGCTGTCACTTGGGAGTTTCCGAAAATTGGGAGTCCCTTCTTTTCGGGTCCTTATAATAAGGATCCTGCTATTTAGGGTACCTTGAAGGCTCATGGGACTTAGTAAGTAAGGTTATAAGTAGGTTATAATTAGGATAACCCCACTTAGGGGACTTATAACCCCAACTATAACCTATCTACTAAGTCCCATGATCCCTTAAGTAGGCTTAAGGTTTGGAAGGGAGGCTTTGGGTTCAGGTTTAGGCTACTGCATTGTCTATTAAGTTCCACTGCACCGAAACCCTGACCCTACAAAGGTGAGATAAGAACCCGCAGCACCGAAACTGAGGCGAGAAACTATGAACGTTTCGAGACCTGAGCAGTCAGATTAGTTGTGTTTCGAATTCTCTGTACCTAGGAGCACAGATGATTAAAGCGTGGATTTGGGCAAGTTTGATGTAATTTGTGGTACATAACTGTGGTGGAACTACAAGGATCGTATCACAAATGATTCTTCAAAGCCCTGACACCTCAGTTCCCCTTTGGCATCGACAGCACCCAGCTCAAGCCAAATACCTTCCGAACTCATGTCACAATTCCCCAACAACCCCACACAGTAGAAGGGTCCCACGGTCCCACACACATCCGGATCACCGAGTACCCCGAACCGTATCACCCGGTTGCCTACGCACCAGGTTTAGAGTTTAGGGCGATACCCTTGGCCGTAACCTCTGGCAAGGGGCTTGCAGACTGGAAAGCCATTGCTGTAAACACCACGGCCATACGCTGAAATGGTTCTGCCACCACCAATGCCCATCTCCTTAGCAGGCTCATGCCCTACGGGTCCATGTGCCCAAGTAGTACATATTTGGCCCGACAGTACCCATCGCGGAAGTACTGCAAGTCCAAAGTATATACTACATGAGCGCATGGACCATTAGGGCCCTAAAACCCTTAACCCCCAGTCGCTTGACCCTAAAACCCTACAAGCCGAAACCCCTAAACCATCAAACCCCTAAAACCCTATGTACAACTCTAAACCGCAAAACCCTAAAAGCCCTAAACCCCCTAAACCCCTAAAACCCCCTAAAAACCCCTAAAAACCCCTAAACCTGTAAACCCGGCGATTTGGAGCCTCGGGAGCCTACTAGTGGCGATCTCACTGGGGGGTCCCTCAGACACCGTCGTAAACTTAGGGGTAATATAGGGGCCTTAAGAAGTAGAATTTAGTAAATAGAATTGGGTTTTGGGGCAGATTATACTATAACTATAATAAGGAATATAGGGGCCTTTATGAATAGAATAGTGTTTTGGGGCCCATCATACTATAATTATAATAAGGAATCCCTCCTCACAATACTATTCGTAAGTAGTTACGCCCTTACATTTACTCCTTCAGCTTTGGCCCCGAATAAGGATCCTGCTAGAGCAGTTGGAATCGTGCAAGGGCTTTAAGGATGATATATATATATATATATATATATGGGTAGTTGTCAAAAAATTCGCCTCGGCCCCGGCCGAAGCGGTCAAAGGTTCCTATTCGGATTCCTTCCTTCCCCACCTCTTAATCCCCTCCCCAGTCACCCCCCCTGGCCCCCCGCCCTCCCCCCCGCCCCCCCGCCCCCCGCCCCCCCCCCGCCCCCTCCCTCCACCCCCTCCCAGCCCCCCCCCACCCTTCCGCCTTTCCCGTGCCAGCACTAATAAACCTGGTTACTAAGTCTCATGATCCTTTAAGCAAGCTCCATCCGCTGCGCTATACGAACCCCAAAAGGGCTGTAGGGTAACCTGATGTGTAGTGCAGCAGGCTACACAGTTGGAACAACTTTTCTGTGTGCGATTCCAACTGTTACTTTTTTCCTACAAGAGCTTGCTGCAGATAGTAGCCACTCGCCGCATGCGCGTACAGCCCGGCCGAGGCGGACGACGCGCAGCGTTTCAAATTAAGATCCCTTTTGGGGTACCCTAAATAATAGGTGCCGTATTATAATAGGGACCCAAAAAAAGGACCATAATTTTGACCACCGCCCATACACTCATCTTATAACATCCCTCAAAGCCTGTACCAGGTATCAATCAAAGCAAACTAAACCCTAAACCCCAGCCCCTAAACCGGTCCGGTCTCTTGTTTTCTTGATTTTATCGGAGCAACCCTGCTTGGAGGATAATGGGACTTAGTGAGTAAGGTTATAATTATATACCATAATTAATTGAGGATAAAAGTAGACATACGTACAGCTACCTTGATTATAGCCCTAGTTGCTAAGTCCCATGATCCTTTAAGTAGAGCCCCATACACTCCTAAACCACCAGACTTTAAACCCTATGAAATTCAAAAGCCTCATCCCTCCTTAAGGGATCATGGGACTTAGTACCTGGGGCTATAAGTCTACGGTCAGTCAACCTATGTTTGCTAAATAGCCATTTATCATCCCCAATTAGGTTACTTATGACCTTACTTAGTGAGTCCCATGATCCTTTGCTTGGCTGACGTCTGAACCCCTCCTAAAAGTTAAGCTTTCAGGCTCCTGATTATCTTAGTTACTGAGTTCATAAGCCCCCAAAAGTGGACACTTTGGGTTTTGTAGTGGGCAATATTATCCCCAACAGTGTCAAGTGTATCCACTCAGCTACTAAGTTATAGTTCAGATAGAAACCCCAAAAAAACAAAATCCTAAGACCCAACCAGAAGACTGCCAAGTCTAAGTATGGAAAGCCTTTATATAGGGGCCAAAATGATTGCCAATGCTATTTTGGGGGGCTCCTTATCATAATTATAGTATAGTGGGCCCCCAAAACCCTATTCTGCGTATTCGGGCCCCTATACTAAGCCCCCATAATCCCCCTTATAGTATCCCTTAAAGGAACCCCTTTAAAGGAACCCCAAAACCGTTCTCTGATTTTTTAAGGCCCCGATATTCAAACTAAAGCTTGATGATGGAACTCCAAAGCCCACCTGCTTTCCCCTAGAGCCTACTTAGAGGATCATGGGATTTAGTAACTAGGCAGGGTTATAATTAAGGTAACTATACTTAGAACTACTTATAAGCCCAATTAAGGCTTATAACCTTACTTGCTAAGTCCCCTGATCCTTTAAGTACAGCTTGGTGTTTTGAAGCTAGGGTTTTGGGTGGGGGTTTCGGGGCTTCTGGGTTCAGGTAGGGTTTTAGGTTTTGGGGTTTAGGGCTTAAGTTAGGGTTTTAGGTTTGGGGTTTAGGGTTTATGTTTGTGGTTTCGGGTTTGGGGGCTCTGGTTCCAAGGTCAAGGGCGGAGCATGTAAATATGACCCCTAGTTGTGTGACTCCACACGTAGCCTTTCCCGCAGTGAATGCAGACTGCTAGTTAGCCTCCTGTGTTCCCAAGAAAGTAGGCTTCAGGGCCCAAGGCTGTTGAGGGAGAGGCAGGTAGTGACACTAAAACTAATCATGAGGCTGCAATGACAAGAACAAAAGTACCTAAACCCTAAACCGTAAGCTTTTCAAAAATGCGGGGTCATGGCGCGGGTTTAGGGTCGGGTACTTCTTCGAGACTTGCCGACAGTAAGCTCCATCAACCCTGAACCGAACACCCTTGTTACAACACAAAGCAGATGCCTCCTTAGCTGCTCTTCCGGCTTCATTGACGTCAAGGAGAGGGAGGTTCCACTAAGGTTTATCAATGAAAGTGCTTTGGCATTACTAGGGTTCTTCAAGGGTTTCTGCAGAGGTCGCAAGGCTTGGAGTCTAAGTCTAGGGTTTAGGGTCTACGGTATGGCGGTTAGGGTGCAAGGGGTTAGGAAACCCTGATCTCAGAACATGGAGATCCAAGAACAAGCGACAAGAATGACTTTAAGACTTTGAGTCTTGTAGTCGCCCTCGTACCCCGAAGCAGACTTCTTCCTGGAGGACGCAAAGCAGTTGATAGCCTGAAGCGACACTTACACCTAGACGCTCTGAACAAACATAACAAACATCAAACCCTAAACCCTTAAGGGTCCATGTACCCAAACAGTATATACTTGGGTCTCAAAGTCGTCCCTATATTAGGTACATTGGCCCCAAAGTATATACTTCGTCATACATGGACCCTTTCAGAACCCGAAACCAACGTCCTCAAGACTTTGTGTCTGGCTGCTGTGTGCGTCCATTTCGTCTGGTTCGTGTGCGGAGTGGTCTGCCTGACCTTGGAAATGGAAAGTACCTATAGTCTCGTTATTATCTAGGGTCAAGGAATCTATAAGGGTTCCTATAATGGGATCTTTCAGGATTTAGGGTCTACTTGGAGGATCATGGGACTTAGTAAGTAAGGCTATAAGTACCTTGATTAAGTAATAAGTAGTTATAAGTATAGTTACCCTAATTAGAGCCCTAGTTACTAGGTCCCATGATCCTTTAAGTAGTCTCCATGTTAGATTTTTTTATGATCCTATAAGGTAACCCCCAAAGAGGAACTACAATGGAGACTATAGGTACTGATAGGATAGGGGCCTAGAGTCTGGTCCTAGAGAATGAATTACAACCACGACCAAGACTGCCACTGCTAGTGCTCCTGCTCCTGCTCATGCTGTTGCAGCTGCTGCTGCTGCTGCTGCTGCTGCTGCTGCGGCTGCTGCTGCTGCTGCTGCTGCTGCTGCTGCTGCTTTTCTGCTACTGCTACTGATGCTGCTACTGCTACTGCTGCTGCCCCTCCCAAGCGACAATCCTGCTCCTGCTCCTGCTCCTGCTCCTGCTCCTGCTCTTGCTCCTGCTCCTGCTCCTGCTCCTGCTCCTGCTCCTCCTCCTCCTCCTGCTCGTCCTCCTACTCCTACTCCTACTCCTACTCCTACTCCTACTCCTACGCCTACGCCTACGCCTACGCCTACTCCTACTCCTACTCCTACTCCTAATTACTCCTACTCCTACTCCACCACCACCACGACTACTGCTACCACTACCACTACCACTACCACTACCGCTACCGCTACTGCTACCGCTACCGCTACCGCTACCGCGACCATGGCTACGACTACGACCACCACCCACCACTAATGCTACTGCTGCTACTGCTGCTGCTGCTGCTCCTACTACTACTACTACTACTGCTACTACTACTACTACTACTACTACTACTACTACTACTACTAGTTCTATTACCACTACTCCAACCCCTATTCCTACCCGTCTATGCCCACCTACTTACCTACTCCTACTCCTTACTCCTACTCCTTGCTTCTAACTCCTTGCTTCTAACTCCTTGCTTCTAACTCTTACTCCTACTCCCACTCCTCCTCCTCCTACCTCTACTCCTACTCCCTTGACGGCGACCACTACTAGTACTGCTACTGCAGCTACTACAATTGCTGATAGTATTTCATGTCTTTGTTGCGACTGTTGCTAAGAAGCCCAGCGACACGTGAGTAGACTTTCGCTACCCCAGCACCGGTCCACATCGCCATCTTCCCCAAGACCTTCCACATGGGGCTCCGGGTTACGCTTCAGGCGTTAAGGTTTACAGTTTAGGATTTAGAGTTAAGCGAGTGGACAAGAGGGTACCGCACCTAATATTTAGGGTATCCAAAATGGGACCATAATGCTGACAACTCCTCAAGTCGTGCGCAGACAGGTTCCACTGTTTGCAAGATCTGCCGATAAACGGCAACCTGGACCCCCCAAAGTAGGTAAAATAATGGCCCCAAAACCTATGAAAGGCTATTCTTCTACATACCTAGACCCTCCATCTACTCTCTATTAGACCCTAAGTGCCCATTATTTGGGACCATCTACCCCTATTTGAGGGCACAAGGGGGGGTCCTGGTATTTTGGGGGTCCAGGAAGGAGTTGGAGCATAAACTCAGGCCAAAGGATGCCTCCTGCTCAGGCAGTACTTGGTTTAGGGTTTAGGGTTTAGGGTTAAGTAAGTAAGTTTAAGGCTCCTTTAAAAGGGATCTGTAAGGGTTCCTATGATGGGATCTATAAGGGTTTAGGGTCTACTTGGAGGATCTTGGGACTTAGTAAGTAAGGTTATAAGTACCTTAATTGGGGTTATAAGTAGTTGTAAGTATAGTTACCCTAATTATAACCCTAGTTACCAAGTCCCATGATCCTTTAAGTCATCAACGCTCACTGAGAGACCTGCCATGAATGAGTGAATGGATGAATGAGAAATGAAGCTGCCAGCAAGAACCACCACAACTGGTGCGGCGTCCGTTCAACAGGTGCCGCGATGAGACTGCAAGGCGTATTCCTTTTCCAGTTTGATGTCTTGTCGAAGATCTCAACGGTGAACCCTAAGCCCTACGCCCTAGACCGTGGAAACATGAACTGATTCCAAGACCCTCACCAAACAAACTGAACCCACACTCCGCACCCCTACAACCCAAAATAGCAAACCAATGCTATCCGAGGCCTTTCCAGCATTCACCGTCATATCCCACAAGAGCCTAGGAAGGCAGAGGAAACGATGGGAGGCGCGATGAGAAATGCTTTTCCTTTCTTGGGGCTTTAGGTTGAAGCATTGAGGCCTCGGAGGGACTGGTTAGGCCAATCGCAGCTGCAAAGTTTAATTAAACCATGTCATCAACGTTCAAGGAAGAACAAGGCTGAGAAGCTTTAAAACGAAGTCTCCTATACCGTACCGTGCTGCTGTTGTGGCCGCAGCTGTTGACGTTAGGGTTCCTCCTAACGGCATGGTTATCAATTTCCTCGTTGTCGAAGTCTTCATCGTCAAGGCTTATTGGCAATTGCGGTCGTCGTCGTTTTCGCATTTGTGGTGCCTTATGCTGTTTCTGCTTGCTGTTGCTGTCGCTGCTGTTGCGGCGGCGGCGGCGGCGGCGGTGGTGGTGGTGGCGGTGGTTACTGCTGGTGTTGCTGCTGTTGTTGCTGCTGCTGTTGCTGTTGTTGCAGCTGCTGGTATTCTTCTCATTATTGGACCTTCTTGTTGTTGGAGAGGGGTTGGCGCAGCAACTAAGCAATTATTCAGCTGCGAGCTAACTTAACTTCGACACGGAAAAGATCGCATCCAGAGGGCAGCGTGATGCAGTATGTGATGAACTAGCGGAAGTAGGAACAAATATACTTCAAAATGACTACATACTCCCTAAACCCTAAACCCTTAACCTTCCAACTTCCAACCCCTTAAAACCCTCAACTTCCTTGTGCCACATGTCCTACAACCATAAGCCCTGCACTAGGGGGCAATGCCCGATGCCTTGTGCCCGATGTCCTACACGCAGAGCACCGTACCTTGAACCATAAACCCTAGAATCCTAAAATCATGAATCCTACAGCCTTAGAACGTTAAAGGGCAAGGGTTCAGGGTTTACCTGAAACCCCCAAGCCCCAAAGCTAAAACCCAGGCCCTCTCGCAGACAGAGCACTTCCCCCCATTCGCCGTTAAATCGCCCACAGCCTTCCCAGCCTCAGCTTCGGGAGTTCTCTTGGTTTCGGGTTTTAGGGTTTAGGGTTTTAGGGTTTAGGGACTGTGGGTTCCTTCAGGGATTGGCTTAATCTTCAGCCATTCTTGTAATGTTCAAGTCGCTTCTGAAGCGGCTTCCCTGAAGCTTGATTGGTTTTTCTTCGTACTTCGGTGGTGTTCGGATTTAGGGAATACTGCGGGGGTCCAGCGGTGAGAATTGTACAGTCGTGTGAAGGCTGTACTGCTCCAAATCTCCTCGTGAAAGAGCCCTGCACCCAAAGGATCGTCTTGTGATTGTTCACCATAACGTTCATAATGGCAGCAACAATAGTACTAGTAATGGTCATAAACACATAATAAAATACTAGTATAAAAACAGTAGTGCGAACGACAGTGAGAACAACTTATTAATGATAGTGCGATCCTCGGCAGAGTCAGATATGGTAAGGCGGATGCCTGAGGTTCAGGCTTGAGGGTTTAACGTCTGGGATTCAGGGGCCTTTGGCTTTCGATACTTGGAGGATCATGGGACTTAGTAAGTAAGGTTATAAGTACCTTAATTGGGGTTATAAGTAGTTATAAGTATAGTTACCCTAACTATAACCCTGGTTACTAAGTCCCATGATCCTTTAAGTATCTCGGGGTTTCCAAAAAATAGGGGCACCTTTTGGGGGGTCCTTGGAATAAGGATCCTACTACTTAGGGTACTATATTAGGGTCCCCTATTGTCGGAAACTCCCATCTACCCTGCAGATGCGATTCACAGTGCTAGGGTAGCCCCCTTAACCCCAAACGGTTTAGGGTTTAGGGTTTAGGGTTTCCCCCAAGGGTCCAAGTACCTAATAATCGTATACTCTCCAAAACCCTAACCTACATAACTACTATCCTAAAATCGAGTACCTAATTATTGGGTCCTTTGGACCCTATGGGTTCCTAGAAAGACAGGTCCGAAGTCTGAGACGATGGCTCGCACGATGGCGTTCAGCGTGTGCTTCCAGGAGAGCTCAAAGAATCTACCCACCTTGCGCAGTAGGATTCTTCGCCCATATACCTGCGTAGGGCCTGCACTCCCCAACCCCAATTCGGTATAAGGCTTCAGTATATGGGCGGTTCTATAAATTAGGGTCCCTCTGTAGGTCCCGAAAGTAGTACGGTACCCTTGCAAAAGGGACCTAAAAAGGATGCGATTTTAGAGAACTAGCCATAAAGAGCCCTTCTACAAACCCCTAACAGGTCCCTTTAGAAAAGGCCTCTTAATTTAGAAAACTACCTGCAAACCCTAAACCTTATAGATCCCTTAAGGAACCCTAACAAGGACCCTAAATGCAAGAACTATCCATATATATATATATATATATATAATCTACCCTGAACCCTTTAGTCTGAGCAAGGTGAAATGTGGGGTGTCTTTCGCAAGCAGGACGTACTTCGGGGCTGTGGAACCATTGGTTTTGTTTCGGGCTTAGGGTTTATAGGGTTTGCGGTATAGGGTTTAGGGTTCAGTAGCTGCGAAGTTCTGCTATCGGGCAGGGCCTCGCTTAAATGCCACCCACGACCCAGGTGCTGAGATGCTCTGATCAGCGAAAAGCACCCCTGATATAGGGGCCTTCATAATTACCAATTCTGGTTTGAAGGCTCCTTATTATAGTTGTAATATAATTACAGTATAATGGGCACCAACACCCTAGTCTAATTATTACGTTAAGGCCCCGATATACAAGACTAAAGCCTAAAGTGTAGTATGTGCGGAATATCGTCTCTGCAACAGAAGCCTTAACCCTTTAAAACCCCGAACCCTAATCCCTAAACCCTACCCCAACTGGTCAGTGGTGGCCCACTGGTGGTCCTGTCTAGTCAGTCTAGTCGTGACGGCATCAAAAAGAAGGACCGCCGCTGCATCTTCCGCTGTCGGAAGTTCGGCGCTTCCGGAAGCAGGCGCTGGAACTATTTCCTTCAGCTCGCCCTGCCCTAAACCCTAAACCCTAAACCCTAAACCAGGAAGGGAGCTCCCGGAGCGGCGGGACTGTTGCTTTCCCCGCGCCAATCCACGGAGCAGTCATCTGCAGCCTCTGGATCGGCTTCGGCTGTCCAGTCGGAGCTCCGGTCGAGAACAAAGGGTTTAGGTTTTTTTTATCTATAGGGTTTAGGGTTTTTTTTTTGATCTATAGGGTTTAGGGTTTTTTTGATCTATAGGGTTTAGGGTTTAGGGTTCAGGGTTTAGGCAAAAGTAGTCCAGCTCCATTTTACTTAGCGAGGAACCCCACAGTTTGGTCGGTCGTCCGGTCCGGTTGGTCAAGTCGGTGGCATGGACCCGCTGTTGGTCCGATCGGTGCTCCCATAAGTGGTCGGGTGAGTGCTCCCAAAAACGCAGACAAAAAACGGTATCCATTGCCTATCGCTTTTGGGGTACTAAGCTGGGTCACCTTCTGAAAGCGCCAGCTGTCATCCCTTCAGAAGATGCAATGCAACATCCCGACACCAAACTCACCCAAAACCTGAATCTCGGACCAGCCATTCCTAAAGGGTCCAAGTATCATTATGGTAATTATATACTTTTCGACCCCCAAAATAGCCTATGAGTATATACCATAACGATACTTGGACCCTTTGGGATTTATCGCCGGACGACCTTCGACCCGAGGGTGCGATTCTTATACTCGACGTCCGAGGTCGTGTTGAAGGTCTGCCTCTGCTGCGCTCGGGATGGGGATGTCGGAGGGTGGAAGGCCGGGAGTCGAAATTGAGGCTTAAGGCTTCAGCTCTTAGGCATCCGGATGTGATACTATTGGGGCCTTTATAGTTAGAATAGGGTTTGCCCTAAACCCTAAACCCTAACCCTAAACCCTAAACCCCAGTATACTTGTCTTACAACTTTTGATAGGGAACCCCTCAGGCTTCCAAGCTTAAGCCTCAGCCCTTTGGCTGGCAGTAGAAGTCTTGTCGTCAAGGCCAACATCATAGGGATCCTTAGGGGTGTAGGGGGGAGGGGTGTAGGGGACTATATTTCCTTAAATAGGCCTTATTAGTCCTTATTATGGGCCTTAAGGCCCCCTACCCCCCCCTCCCCCTACACCCCTAAGGATCCCTATGACAACATGAAACACAGGTGCCACAATTGCATACAGCTGAACCCACCGAACCCAAAGTAGTGCAAACTGTCCAAGAGCACATCGCCGAGGGGCGAATAGTCAAAGTACGGGCCGTAGGAATCTGAGCCAAGGCAGCCAAACATGATAAGCTTCACAGAGCATCTGGTGATTAAGTCAGCCATCCAGAAACAAATACTGCCAGTTCCCCGGCCATGTCTATGCGTTCAGTTGAACGAACGCCGGAGCAAGGTTTTCCATATCTGCTTCATGGGCCATTCTGTCTTGTGCAGTGTAGTCGGTTTCTGGATAGGTTTGCGACTCATCATGCATGGCTTGGGTGAAGCCCCTGTAACAGTAAGCACTCACAAACAGACATCGGTTGTGATTATACAGTATCTGCATCGGAAGATGCAACCATATTGCCGCATCTCTCCTCCATCTCGTCTTTGCACCTCTCCGCTCCTTTTCGGTGTTTCTCTCCCCAGATTCCTTCATCAGATTTAAACCAATAAGATGGCTGTCAGAGGGGTGATATAGGTGCCCTAATACTGAAAATGAGGTTTTGGGGCCCAGTGACTATAAACTTTAGCAAGGAACCCCCGCTAGTATTAGACACCAAGCTCTGGCATTTCGCGTTTCGGGGTCAGTTTATGGCGACGGAAACTGTAAGACCCAATAAGACGGATGGACCCCTACTTAAATACACCAAATCAAACTTTGGAACATTCCTAAAGGACCCTTCACCAATTCTGCATCGAGGGAGCAGTGGATTCGTAACTGCATAGCTTCATCTTCGAATGCAATCTCCTTCATAATCCCGCCCGCCTGCGCGTGGCTTTAGGAAGTTGTTCTTGTCACGAATCAGAGTTCAAGGCGTGCACTATTGCAGGGCCCCTGTATTCCGCATCTTGCACATTCTCAGAGCTGCACTACCCATAGGCCCCATAGTAGTTCCTTGTTGGGATTACCTTGTAGGATTCTAAATATGAACCCGAAAAAGGAACTACTACGGTGGATGATATAAATCCTGCATTACCGATATTAAGGAATATACCAGATTTCCCATAGTTTAGGGTCCTTAAGGTAATGCAGGATTTCCATCATCAACCCGAAACCCTAAACCCTACAACCCTATAGATCCCTTAAAAGAGCCCATGAAAGGTAGCCTTATGGATCCCTTTAAAGGAACCCTAGGATTTAGATCATCAGCCGTATATGGGGCCTATGGGTGGAGCTCAGGTCTGGCTGACACCAGCACTGGGGCTTCATGTTTGGTGTTTATGGTTCTTGGGTTCTAGGCTTTATAGGGTGTAGGGTTTAGGGGTTTAGGGGTTTGGGTATTTAGGGTTAGGCTTTATACGGTTTAGGGTTTATACGGCTTAGTCTGTTTAGTGTTTACCTGGACCCCAAAAGTATGTAGAATAATAGCCTTTTAGAGGTTTCGGGCCATTATTTTACCTACTTTGGGGGGTCCAGGTAGTGTTTATGGTTCAGGGGTTTCGGGGTTTAGGGCCGAAAGCCCTTCTAGAAGTTAAACTGTAGCAATGGCTTCCAACCCTAATGTAGGAACCTAAACAAGAAACCTTGGGCCCGTATTAGGGTTCCTTCTATGAATCCTACTATTTCGGGGTTATAGGCCCAGAGATTCTTAATCAGGTTCCTACATTAGCTAGATCCCTGATAGAAGCCTTTACGGATCCCTTTAAAGGAACCCTGATAGATCACTTATAGAACCCTTTAAGGACCCTATATACATTAAGCCCTAAACGCAGAGGGCCTCCTCTTGAAAGTGAAAATCCAAGGGTAGAAGGAGGGACCCTTAATAAGGACCCCTAGGTATATACCCTCTAGCTATTATATACCCATTATATAGACCATTGTAGGGTAGGGGTCCCCATTAAGGGTCCCTCCGTTTCCCCTTTGAGAAAAGCACCTCGCCCTTCGGAGTCGCTAAGGACAAGCCCAAACGAAACACTCAAGCAACTATTGAAACCTGCCCCTTGTAATGGGGGTTCCTATAAAGTACCCGTAGTAGTATAGGGCACAAAATTAAGGCATCTACTTTCTAGATCTTGTGGGCATTTTAGGGTTTAGGGTTTAGGGTTTTGGCTTTGGGTCTAGGGTCTTTTTGGGAGCTGCTCTAACCTCCTATCCATGATTTACTGCAGCTGGTGAAAGAAGCAACGGGAAGGTTCGGGCGGAGGATGCGCTTGGAGATATCAATGAAAGGATTGTAGCCTATAGGGCGTCTTGAAATCGAAGCTCGAAGCGTGGCTCGCAGACAAAAGACGTGGAATGACCGAAGACGAAATCTTAAACCCCACTCTCCTAAACCCCAACCCTACACCCGGTCCGATATACCAAGCCCCAAACCCTAGTCCTAGTCCATAAAAAACTGGGCTACTTATAACAAGGAACTACCAAAATAGTATATGTGACTGTTAGGGCCCCTATATTGCAGCTAACTTCCTAAGCCCTTAGCCCTAAACCCTACACCCTAACCCTTAAACCCCAACCCCTAAACCCTACGATCCCCAACTTGGGGGATCATGGGACTTAGTAAGTAGGGTTATAAGTACCATAATTTGGGTTATAAGTAATCATAACTGTAGCTACCTTACTCATAACCCCAATTACTAAGTCCCATGATTATTTAAGTAAGCGGCGCCTCCTCAAAGTTGGGCCCTCCGTACGAAAATGTCAAGAAGTCACCGGCTTCGATTCCAAAGTCCTGAGTCTAGGGCCCCCAAAATGCACGTAAGCAAAAAAAGGATCGGGATATCCCATACCTAGAGGATCATACCTTGCCCCTTTTTTGGATACCTAGTTTTATGGTTAGGATCTGTTATCTTGAAAACTAGGCGCCCTAAAAAAGGGGTAGGGTATGAGCCTCTAGGTATGAACGACTCCGTCTCAGGGGTTGGTGTGCAAGGATATCGAGTCTGACCCTAAACTCTAACCCTAAAACCCTGAGCCCGAACCGTGATTGGGAAATCTCGAATTACAGTAGAAGCCAAAAAGTTGGAAACCCAATAGCCTCGATCCTTAAGAGTAATGTATAGGGAATCCCAGCACTATTTGGCTTTAATCGGTTTCCAACTTTAAGGGGTTTACTGTAAGGCTGAATGCTTCGGTGCTGCAAACTTCTCTACAAGGGTTCGGATTCCTTTAGGCGTTCCTTCAAGGCTACCATAAGAGCTGTGTGGGATGTTATATGTGTAACCATAAGCGCTACTACAAGGGTCCATGCACCCCAAAAGATATGTGCTGTGGCCCGAAAGTACTCATATAAGGAATACCTTTAAACCCTAAACCCCTCGACCATAAACCCTACTTTCAGGCCGACGTGTGTACTACAGAGCGCATGAACCCATAGGATTTGGGCTATGCCGCGCTTATAGAAGCTCAGGGCTTGGTGATGAGCCCGTTTTGTTCGAATCAAGTTAGGGTTTAAGTTTAGGGTTTAGGATTTATGGCTTATTTGCACGTACTTGTAACCTGATAACGCAGGATTCGGAGTGAAGATTCTATACATAAATACATACATACATACATACATACATACATACATACATACATTACGTACATACATACATACATACATACATACTTACATACTTACATACATACATACATACATACATACATAACTTACTAATCGCATTGCTCACTTATCGTCCTCGTGTAAATGTTCATCGTATACTATACCCCTGAACCCATTGTCAAGAAGGACTCTATAGTCCTAATCGGTCCCCTTCTCAGGACCTGCTTCGAAAGATGTAACGGACGCTGAGCGACCTAGGATTTAACCAAAAGCTCCATGTACCTATATATAGTAACTTAGCGCTTAAAGGCCTACCTGTATAAGTACTTAAAGAACCCTAAACCCTAACCCCTAACCCCTAATATACGATATGGGTACATGGAGCCTCCGAACTCGGCCCTAAATGCAATATCCCACCGATGTCTGCCGTGTAGCTGTATAGCTTAGAATCAGAAGCTGCCCCCACCCTGTAATAGTGACTTACAGGGTTTAGGGCTTAGGGCTTATTAGGGCCCTATTATACACCCTGTAATAGTGACTATGAGGATTATATTAGGGCCCTGTTATATTCCTATTATGCCACTATTACAGGGTGGGGGCAGCTTCCAATGTATAGCATCAAACGCTGAACCGCAAAAACAGGAGTCGTCTCATCTGCCTCGCCCTGCCTTCATTAAGACTCTTAACTCTTAACCCTGAACCTTCAACTCCACAGCTAAACCCTAAACCTCTACACTCACCCGAAGCCCCAAAACACAAATCCTCCGGTCAGTCATTTCGGGGCCCTTAGCTGACAGTAGCCGGTCCTCAAACCGAGCTTACCCAAAGGGTCCAAGTACCATGTAGCAGGTACTTTGTGGATATTTGGGCCCCCCAAAGTATATACTATACTATTACTTAACCCCCAACTACCATCCATTATACCCAAATACCCACCACGAAAGAAATTAAGGGCTTTAGTAAAGGACCCTGCGTCTTAGAAGTGCAAAACCCAACCTGAAACCCTGTAGATCCCTTACAGAGCCCTTGTGGATCCCGTTAAAGGAACCCCTATGAATATCCCTTTAACAGCCCTAAACCCCAACTCCAAGCGTAAAAGGAGGGACCCTTAACAAGGACCCCTAAGTATATACCCTTAATATAGCCATTCTTATATGCCCATTATATAGCCCATCAGAGGCTATAGGGCAGTGGTCCCCATTAAGGGTCCCTCCTTTTCCCCTTTGACTAAACCCTAAACCCTCAACCCGAAACCCTAAACCCGAAACCCTAAACCCGAAACCCTAAACCCGAAACCCGAAACCCTAAACCCTAAACCCGAAACCCTAAACCCTAAACCCTAATCCCCTTTGACTAACCCGAAACCTTAACCCTAAACATTCCTGACAGCCCAGAAAGGCGCTAGCCAGACCCCCGGGAGGATCTATAGGGAGGGATCTCTAAGGGTTCCTAGGGATCCGAAGGGGTTCCTTTAAAGGGATCCATAAGGGATCTATAGGGATCCACAGGGGCTCCTTTAAAGGGATCTCTAAGGGTTCCTAGGGATCTTTAGGGTTCCTTTAAAGGGATCCATAAGGGATCTATAGGGATCCTTTAACCCAGACCTCCGGCAGGATCTCGAAAGTAGATCCCCGAATTTGGGGCCCTATACTACTAAGGGTACTTTATAGGACCCTCCCGATTCAGGGATCTACTTTTTGGATCCTCCCGGGGGTCTGGGTATACAGATCCCAAAGATGCAGCTAAGCGAGTTCGGGGGGTTAGGGGTGGTTTTTAGGTTTTAGGGTTTAGGAGGGTTTAAGGCTTTGGGGTTTTGGGGGCTCGGGGTTTGGGGTTGCGGGGTTTTAAGGTTTTAGGGGTTTTAGGGTTTGGGGTTTGGGTCTTTGGGGTTTTAGGGTTTTGGGGTTTTGGGGGTTTTGGGTTTGGAGGTTTCGGGTGTTGGAGTTTCGGGTGTTGGTGTTTGGGCTTTAGGGGACAGCTCGACAGGCTCCCTTCAGCCAAGTTTCGGCGGGGCACGCTGGCAGAGGAGTGTCATCGTCTCCGCCCTCAGAGATGCGATTCTGACACTGTAAACCTTGAACCCGAAACCCTAAGCCCTAAAACTCAAAACCCAAAACCCGAAGCCCAAAACCCAAAGACAAAACCCTAAACCTTATAAATCCCTTCTAGGGCCCTTATGGATCCCTTTAAAGGAACCCCTATATAGATCCGTTTGACAGCCCAAAACCCTACAGCTAACTTTACAAATCAGGCCTATGCCATGAAATATCACAGCTTGTGGCTTTCCGGATCCTTAGCGTAGGGTTTAGGGTTTAGGGTTTAGGGTTTGGGGTTTAGGGTTTAGGGTTTAGGGCTTCTTCCCTTGTCATCCTTGATGTTCGCCTTCCACAGGCGCGGAACGTCGTACTGGGTCTGGATGTGGTCACCATGGCAGATCCTTTTATAGGGGCCCCTCACATGGCGGCCTTTGCCGGTCGGGCCAGATTGGCCACAAGCATAACGGACATAAAATGATCATGAAGACTAGAAGTCAGGTGCAGTCCAAGTGCTCAGTTTCGGGTACCCGTACTCAGCCCCAAAGGTCACGACGACATCTAAACACCAGAAGCCCTGTCCCAGATTTTGGAATGTGGTTACTTAAAGGATCATGGGACTTAGTAACGAGGGTTATGATTAAGGTAGCTATACTTACAACTACTTATAATCCGAATTCAGGTACTTATAACCTTACTTATTATATAAGTCCCATGATCTTCCAAGTAACATTGAGTTGCGAAGCCTGAAGAATGCTGCTTGGTTCAACCCATGTTCCAGTTTGGAAACCCCTAAACGCTGAACCCGCCGTGCCAGCTACCAGAGTCGTATAAGCTCGTTTATGAACCTCTTTCAGCACAAAGCCCTCAAAGCTAGAGACGAGTAGCTAGAAGCCAATTTTATGTAACACTTTTGGTGTTTGCATGCGAAGTCCCTGCGCCATAGTGCATCAAGCCCTATACGCCTTTTCCATTGCATAAAGCTTTCAATTGGAGACCAAAGGGGGGGGGCTAAAATACTGGGGCTGTATGGAATCTGAAATGTCCCTACAGCAGGGTCGGCTTGAGCCGTTTGTGTATGGGTTGCTGCCGTCCCCTTACAACGCTTCAGGCCCTATAGCTCCTTAAGAACCGACATGGTCGAAACCGTGAACCGTCAACCTGTCGATCCCCGGACAGCGACCGTTGTAGCAATCCGTATAGGCCTAGTTTAGGGTTTAGGGTTTAGGGTTTAGGGTTTAGGGTTTAGGGTTTAGGGTAATCATAAATGCTCCGACCTCTCAGAACCTCTACGTTAATTGTATACATCCATCATAGGCCAACACTACAGTAGTGGATCCCCGTAGTACAACTACTCTGTGAGCACCTGATACCGTAATCTTTGTAGTAGCCCGTTTAGTACCGTTACCTCACAGTGAACCCGGAAAGTTGGAACATAGATTTGGGATGGTTTGTCCGGGGAGATCCCCTTAAAGGCATGGGGATGTTGATGTTCCAACTTTCTGCCTACCTTATGCTCCTGAAACCTGATCGGGGTGCCATGTCGTCTTGCGAGACCATTTTGACCATCTTCTCAGTGACGACATCCGAAAGCTTCCTGATGACGGCTCTGTAAGGGTAAATCAAGTGCTTCACTGAGGCTTCCTTAAAGGGTCATGGGATTTAGTAACTAGGGTTATACTTGGGGTAACTATACTTATAACTACTTATAAGCCCAATTAAGGTACTTATAACCTGACTTACTAAGTCCCCTGATCCTTTAAGTGAGGCTTATGAGGATGCAAAGTGTGGTTAAGGGTTTGAGGTCCTAAAGCCTGACCCTTGAACCTTACCAGGAAACCCCCCAATGGCCCTTTAATGGAGCCCTTATGGTCCGAAAAAGTGGGTATTTAGGGTATACCATAGGGTAGTTTGGTGGGTCTAAGTAGGGTTGAGGTTTTAGAGTTTAAGATTCTATGATTTTTAAGTCCAAGAACCTTCATAGCTGGCAAGAGTAGGACATGACGGTCGGAACCTAGTGGAGGACCCTGAGTAGCCCCCTTGTGATAAGAGTACACTTGTTCCTACTATTCGGTTTTAAAAGGGGCCCCAAACTAAGAAGGGCAAGAGGGTGCTACTCCTCTGGCAGTTGTTCAGGGGCTAGGACCTGGGGTTTGGGCAATAGGGTCCCTAAATGGTTCAAAGGCCTGCATCATCCAGCTGAGGGTCAGGGTGAATTCAAGAGCTTTCGGTTAAAGAAACGGATGCCCTAAGGCTCCAAGTAGTGTAATGCACAGCGGCTCCTTTGCAAGCCAGGCCCCAAACCCAGGCGTTGTATCCAAAACCGTGCCGTAAAGAAAACGTACGAACTCGATTGAAACTCACCGCAGGCACTGGGCTCTTAAGTGTGAGTATGCGCTTGAGCTGGGCGCAGCCCTTTGTCAATAAGGACACCCTTTTGTCCACTTTTCGAGGTTGGACAAGGAGACCCCAAACCAAAAAGAGCAAAGGGGGTACGACAACCCTAAACCCCGAAACCCCTGCCCCACTGCCCTTAAGCCTAGACTCCTGAGGCCCCTAATCGAGGATGCCCAGTAACCTAGGAATAAATAGGGCTCCCTTTTTGCTAGGTAACTTTTATAAGGAACCTAGCGCTACAAGAGGGAATAAGGGTACTACTGGGCATCCTAGTCATTAGGCAAGGCGAACTCAGATCCTCCTCAATCCCCATCGATTCGATCTCCTACTGCAATAAACCTGGTTACCTGGACCCCAAAAGTGTGCAGAATAATAGCCTGTTTTAGGTATTGGGCTATCATTCTACCTACTTTGCGGGGATTTAGGTAAGGCTTGGGGTTCAGGGATACGACCTACCATTTCTACGTGAGTCTCTGCGCCATAAGGCCTATACGTGGACCCTATACAATCTCCCCTTTTGGGGCTGCTCATTATGATTTCCTCAGTCCTTAAATCGGTACATTATTTGGGTCGCGGTGTTTGTTTAAACCGGTTATTGGCCTTGAACCCTGAACGATGACCTACTGTTACAACCCCGAATACCTACCTTTGCAAGGAATTATGAAAGGGTTTATCAACCATGTTGGTCTCTTGGGTATACCCTAAACCCTAAACCCTAAACCACATGAAGCACAAGCAGGGGGAGGGTTTGGGGCTTGAGTGGGCATGGGTTCAGTCCGAAGCCAGAAGTTTGTGCTACACCCGTTTAAGTGATAGACCACCAGCAACTGAACGGTTTAGGGTTTAGGGTTTAGGGTTTAGGGTAACTGTTCAACTGCCAGAACTTAGCAACTCTAAACCCCAGCCAACCCTGAACCCTAACCTAAGAACACTAACGACCTTGAACTTACAGAACTTAAACTCGGAAACACTCTACCGTAAACCCGAAGCCCTAAACACCAAGCCCTGAACCCTTGCAGACACCTTACAGGAACCCTAAACCCTAAACCCGAAAGAAGCAGAGGCTCTCTTGAAGGATTGCCAGCTCATCGTCGAATTTCTTGAACTCCACCGGCTGATCTTTTTTCACGCCCCTGAGCATCTGGAGCATTTCGGGCTTAGGGGGGGGAGTTTGGGGTTGAGGGCTTCAGGGCCTAGACCCTCAACCCTCCACCCTAAACCCTCGGGGCTTTCACGTTTAGGGTGGGGCGTTGATATAGAGGCCTCAATAATTAGAATCGGGTTTGGGGAAACATTTTACTACGATCTTATTAAGGAACCACCAAAACAGTGTAGGTAATTATTAAGGCCCCTATAAAAATAGTACCCTTATAAATCCATTGTAGCAGCCCTGCTAGGCCCCTTGTAAAGGAACCCTATTCTAATTAAGGCCCCTACATTAGGGCTTTGGGATTCAGCCGCTGCTTCAGCAGCAAGCATGCTGACACTTTGTTCAAGGATGTCATGGTAAGGAAAGAACCCTACCTTTAAGGGATTCTTTTCTTGGATCTATAGGGGTTTAGGGTTTAGGGCTGATGGTCTAAATCCTGCGGTACTGTAGGAACCTGATTAAGAAACCTTGAGCCTTTATTAGCGTTCCTTATATGAGCCCTACGAAGTTTGGGGGTTATAGGCAAACCCCACATTAGGATTATGGTGGCAGCCATGTTTCCATGTTCGTCTCGATCTTAGCCTTACTGAGCACCAAGACGACTGTCATCATCGTCGCCCTCCTGATCCTCCTTATCATCATCATCATCATCACCATCGTCATCATTTCCATCATTATCCATTGTGGTCCTCCTCATTGCTGCGATCATCACCACAGGCCTGGTCATACACATCAGCCTCATCAAACATCCCTCGCCATCACCGTAATCATCAACATCGTCAGCAGCAAGCAAAATACGTACCACCATCATCATCATCATCGTCATGATGCCCATCACCGCGACCATGCCCACTTCATGCAACATCACCATCACGGTCGCCATCATCACCTCCACTAGCGAAACTGACCACTCTGGAACAACTTAATTTTGTCCTGCGTTTTCATACGGGTTTTGCTAGCATCACTGTCGGCATTAAAGGTCCGCACCATCATCGTCACAACATCTTCATCACCACCATCACGACCACCACCATCACGACCACCACCATCATCACCAGAGTCGCCATCATCATAGCAATGGTCACAACGATCATCATCACCACCATCGCCATCACGGTCGTCATTATCATCATCACCAGCATCATCATTCATCACCAGCATGATCACCATCACTATCGTCACAACCCTCGCCATTCAGCAGCATCAGTACATCCACATCGCCCCCAACCTCCCATTCTCATTCCCCTTCCACACCGCAAACGCATTTCTCCGAAAACCGATCAGCCCGAAACCTGTGCCCCATAAGCACGAACTCTTGGCTTCGGTGTCGATTTCAGCAGTCCCATAATTATGTATAATTGGAGCTCGATCTTAAACAATAACTTCGGGAACCGAAAGGGGCTATCCCAAATCGATACTATAGTAAATGCCGATCAACCTTCTCAAGATCGGTGCCAAACGATCCAGGGAACCCCATGACCCTTAACTCAGGAAGATACCTTACGTGGGTTTTGAGGTTTACGGTCCGGTTTAGGACTTGTATCATTAATAACTCATAACAGCTCCCCATAGTATTTTGTATACTTCGAGGACTTTTGGGCTTTCTGGGAATCCGAGGGGCTCGATCAACTGATACAAGGCGGCAGCATAGAAATCAAGCTCGTCCTCCTTGCAGTTCCTTGAGGGCTTAAAGGGCTCGGTAGGTGTTTAGGGGTTCATCGGAACGTTAAGGCTTTAAGCCTTTAGGGGGTCGCCGAAATGGTTCGATTTGTGGTCTCAAGATTCCAAGGCTGCTTCTTCTTCTGAGAAAAAAGCGCATGCGGCTGCTTGGGTTGAGGAAGACTTCTTGAAACTATGGCGTCATCCTACGATGGAGATGTGAGCTACTGCGCCAGTGACACTAATGAACATTAATGAACCATCGAGGTCAATTTCCGTCCTCCACCGCACTTGGAATGCTAGGGCAATCGCGAGATTTCACTGCCCTGCGATCTCCGGGACGTCAGTGGCAGCATCATGAGTGCAAATTCTGGAAACCATTCTCTTTGCATACGCTGTTGCTAAAGTGCTGTTCGTTCATGAAAACCTCTGTACCAGTGGGGTGTTATCAAAATTCGGGTCCCTTTTTGGGTCCTTAATATAATACGACACCTAATATGTAGGGTACCCAAAAAGGGAGCATAATTTTGACAACCACCCAAGTGGTGTATGCTCGGCTCTATTCTGCGATGCTAACAGAGAGAACTTCCGCTACCGCTTCATGAACCCTAAGGGTCCATGTACTCATATAGTATATATATATATATAGTTTATATAGTATATATATATATATATATCGTATATATATATATATATATATATATATATATATATTAGCCTTAATATAGTCCCTATTTAGGAACATCGGGGCTCAAGTATATGCTATATGAGTACATGGACCCTTAGGGGAAGGCATTCTCCCTAAATCTCTTACACAACATGGACTGTCTAACTAAAGTGCAATGTGGGCTCCGCCAGCGCACAACGACCCAACAATACACGCTATGCTTGGAGGTTCATGGGTCATAAGTGGAGCTAGAAGTCCCCTAATAATCTGGGTTGAAATTATACTTACGTTGCTTATAACCCCACTTACAACTACCCCTGAACCTCCAACTGCGCTCTGAACCCAGAGCCTTGTACACCCCGACAACCAGAAACGATAAGCGGAAAACACAAGATAGGGGCATTAATAGTTGATACTAGTTGGAACAGGGTTTTGGGGCCCATTATACTATAATCATAATAAGGAACCACCGAAATAGTATTTTAGACCCCCATAATATTACATATCATATACACACACACACACACCCCAAATCTAGCAGCCTGCAGCCCTGACACAGCTTCCGTAGCAAACTTCAAATCTAAGAGATCCCAAGCCCTACACCCTAAAGCTTTCTTCAACTTACATGCGGGGCTCTAAAACTGCTGTCCCACTCCTGTATGACATGGTAGAGGTCTTGATAAATCGAACAAGGTTCTGTTCAAAGGTTCCTTTAAAGTGGTTCTACATGGGTCACTTAGGGGGTATTGGTAGGTTGGCCCCTTTAAAGCCTCTGAAAAACATTCGTAAATCGGGTCCTATTAAGCCCAATAAGGGGAAATATAAAATGCGCCAAAGGCCTACCTAGATTATGGGGGGGGGTTGGCACGGGGGCCTGTACACTATGGTAGAAATATGTTAAACATGTAATAGAGGGGCCTTACTAATTAGAATGTGGTATTTGGGGCCCATAATACTAGAACAATAATAATAACGAACCATGAAATAGTAGAGGTCATTATTAAGACCGCTATATTAGTAAGTGAGCCCAGGGAACCCCAAAATGGTTATTCAAACTTCCATACTATTACTGGGGCTCATACAGAAAGGATCATGGGACTTAGTAACTAGGGCTATAATTAGGGTAACTATACTTATAAGTACTTATAACCCCAATTAAGGTACTTCTAACCTTACTTACTAAGTCCCATAATCCTCCAAGTACTCCCGAACATCCCGAAACCCTAAGCCTTCAACCCAGCACCTAGTCTCAAGACCTCCAACCCCGTAGCCTAAATCCAAACGCCCTAAACTCATAATCTAGATCCTTTCATTCAACCCCGATTCATAATACTCGAGTTCAAAGGCCTCACGCCCCCTGACCCCTAAATCCTAAACCCCAAACCCTCAACCCGAAACTCTAACCCCTCAACCCGAAACCGTAAACCCCTGAACCCTCAACCCGAAACTCACTTTGAGTTCAGAGGTTCGAGCTCAGCACTTTGATCAAGGGCTCCATGCTGCTTGATTTACGCCAAAAAGTGTACCATCGGCGAACCTGCACAAGGGAGTATTTAGCCGGGCATTATTGTACCCTTATAGATCCCTTACGGCAACCCTTATAGACCCCTTTTTCTAAGGGCACCTTTATAGACCCCTTTGAAGGAACCCTTATAGATCCCTTTGAAGGAACCCTTATAGACCCCTTCAAAGGAACCCTTATAGATCCCTTTATAAGGGAACCCCTTATAGACCCCTTTAACTTATATAAAGGAACCCTTATAGATCCCTTATAGTAAGGGCTTCTAGGGTTTCGGGCTTACCGGGTCTAGGATGGTCCTGAGCTTTTAGCCGGGCCCTAAAAAACACATAAGCAAACATAAGAATATGGATATACCATTCAAACCCCCTTACAATGGATGGGGGGGATATCCTCATAAACGGTTTATGCTTATGTGCTTTTGGGGTCTCTAATGTATGTAGGCGTAGGGGTTTCGGGTTCTGGGGTTTAGGGCTGATACTTGGAGGGTCGGGGGACTTAGTAACTGGTTATTTTAGGGACTTATTAAGTACCATAACCCCAATTAGGGTCCCTTTTAGGGTACTTATAAGTCTACTTACTGCCTAGTTACTAAGTCCCCCGACCCTCCAAGTAGGGTTTATAACGGATTAATTATAGGCATTATAGGGCTTAGCGCTTACAAGGTTTAGGTACTATAGGTTTTTAGGGCTTAGGACGTAGAGGGCTTGAGGGCACTGGGGAGTCTGTTTGGGTTTGGGATTTAAGGTTTAGAACTGGGTTGTTCAGTGATTTCTGATGCTCGGCGGTTCAGGGTCTATAGGGGTTTTAGGGTTTTCATTCGGGTTTAGGGTTTAGGGTTGAGGCGTCCTGAAGCCCTGAACTTTAAGGTCTATGTTGTAGCGGTAGCGCCTGCCTACAGAATCAGGTTTGCATCGCGCCCTTTCAGATGCTTTCTCTACGTCCAAGAGAGAGGCATTCTTGCAGTCGTTGCGACAATCCTGCAGGGCGGCGAGAACCTGCCTCCAGCAGCAACTTCGCCACTTCAGAATGGCCATCGATTGTGGCAAACGCGAGAGCTGTCATGCCGTCACTGTCGCACAGATCCTTCTGAGCCCCAGCCTCCAAAAGTAACTGCACGATTCGACAATGGCCCGCAGATGCGGCATCCATAAGTGCTGTACTGCGGTGCGCCCCCGCACGCAAATCTGTTTGGGCACCTGCCTCCAAGAGCCATTGCACAAGAGGAGAATGACCGTGTTCTGCCGCCTTCATCAATGTCGTACGGCCGGACCTGTCGGGGAAGTCACGGGCACCGGCCTCAAGGAGCAAGAGTGCCACGTCAAACTGATCGTTCGCAAGCGCCCGCATCAGGGGCGTGAAACCCTTATGCACGGATTCCGGATCCATGGGCAGCTGCAAAAGAGAATTCACCTGAGATGGGACTCCTCTCTCTAAGGCTCGGGTACAGGGACTTTGGTTGCCATATATAATAAGGGCTATATCTATGAGGATCAGGGAATGCTATAACGGTTCATGTTTCAGGCCAGGAAGATGCTACTTATTGCGGTGTACCGGACCTTGTGCAAACGGCCATGATGAGCCGCCCGGCATAGCTCTCTGCGTTGGCTGTCCGAAGCCTCCGAGAAGGGCAAGATCAAAACCTGCAGATCTATCACGACGTCCACGCCGTCAATGGAAGCCTTCAGCTCGTGAAGCCTCCTTTGCTTGCATGGTGGCGGCGCACCGTCCTCGGGGTCCAATCGCCGCTTCAACGTTGCAGTGCGCGGGGAACCGTGGTCAGCCGCAGCAGTGACCTGTCGCTGCATCTTGTCTGTGGCCTCGGAAGATGTCGCAGCCACACCATCTGGATCCAAGACAGAGTCGAATTTGATCTCATCCCCCAAAGTGCTGCCCCCATGAACAAGCCTTTGCCTGAAACGTGGCGGCAGGCCCTGCTGCTGATGCAGTCGTTGCTTCAAGGCCTTGACGTCGCTCAGCTCTGTGAGAGGAATGCTGGTTACCTCTTTTCCGGAAACCAGCATGATGCGCAACATGGCCTAGCCCAGGTGCGGTGTAAACTATTGAATGGTATCAGGGGTCTTGGTCAAAACGGTTGTGGATCCAGAGCCGTACGCCGTGTCAGACGTGCGAAGACTCCATGTTCCGAAATGCCCGAGCAGAAAAGCTGTTGAGAGGCGAGCCGAAACACCACCAGAAGCACCATGGATGCTGCAGTGGGTAGCACGTCTTCATGCCATGCCAGCTGAACCCTAAACCCCTAGAATCCCCTAGAACCCCAAACCCTAAACCAAGCTCCACAAGCTGCACCTTCGAAGCTCGGAGCAGAGATAACATCTTCCCACAGCGATATCAGTTCTTGATTTTGAAAAGCCCATGGGAAAAGGTATAAACTTTTACTTCATAACTGGTTCCCTTTGAGTACCAGGCCCCAAGATAGTGTTAAAGTATGGTACTCCTAAGCCCAGAATTACACGATAAAGTTCATGCTCGAAACTGCTGAACGGAAACCCTGCAAGTGCTGAACCATAACCTCCTTGACTCAGGTTAAGGCCTTGTCCGCTAATATAGGGGCCTTAATAATTGGAAAGGGGTTTTGGGGCCCATTATAACTATAATTGTAGTAAGGAACCCCCGCAATACGTTGGTAATCATTTAGGCCCCACAACGCCAAGAAATAAGTTGGGCCACTGAAAAGCACATACAATTCCTCAGAGGCTATGGGAGTTGGAAGTTATGATGCCGCCCATCTTCAAGCTGAAACGGTTTAGGATTCAGGGTTTAGGGTACACAGGCAGCTTTCAGTCAATCTCAGGCTCATTCTCGCCCAAGCCTCGAAACATACCTAAAGGTACACAAAAGCAACCCTGTAGATCCCTTTAAAAGAACGCTGGGACCCCTTGTATTCCTCTTTAAAAGAACCCCTTACAGGAGCCCTTCAGGGGATCCTTGTGGGCAGATGGACACTTACTTAAAGGATCAAGGGACTTAGTAACTAGGGTTATACTTAGGGTAACTATACTCATAACTACTTATAACCCTAATTAAGGTACTTAGAACCTTACTTACTAAGTCCCATGATCCTCCAAGTAGACCCTAAACCCTTATAGATCCTACTATAGGAACCCTTACAGATCCCGTTTAAAGGAGCCCTAAACCCTTTTTTTAATTTAAAGGAGCCCTAAACCCTAAGGCTCACCTTACTTACTAAGTCCCATGATACTTTCAGTATAGGAAGCCCAAGACCGCCTTGTAGGTTCCGAGTTTGCTATTGTTGGCGTCGTCGCCTGCCGTAATGGGTTTAGGGCTTAGGGTTTAGGGTTTAGGGCCGTAAGGAATCGGTATCCGAAACAGAGGCCTCCTTCTGTCCGGGGTTCGGGGTTTATCGGGGTTTAGGGTATGGGCTGATTAGAGGGTGTGGTGTTTGCTCTAGGTGGGTTCGGACGGAGAGGTTAGGGGTTTGGGCTTGAAGGGTTGAGGCTTCAGGGCTGTTGAGGTGTTATATAGTTTGCCTGGGCCCTAAAGAACCCAACTATCGTTAAAGAACCCAATTACCGTGTGGGGTTCCTTATTATGACTTCCTTTTTTCACTCCTTAAACAGGTAGGCTACTGAAGGTACAGGTAGGGCTTATAGGGAATTGGGCTTGCTGGCGTTTCTGGTGCAGGGCTGAGGAGTTTCGGGCTGCGTTTAAAGCTTTAGATATGTATGAGGATGTTAAAGGCGGTTCAGGGTTTGCGGTTCAACAGAGCTTTATACTCCGCCCAAATGCGAATCCACATTACTATCCTACAAACAGGCCTTTAGTGCCCTTATGACTCAGATGAAAATAGTTTCTACTTATCCCTATCCTCTTAAGGGATTTCTGGAGGTTTAGTCAGAAAAGACACGAAAACCATACAGATAAGAGAACTCATGAAATACCTAGCTTTTGTGTCATTTTCACACTGGACTTCCGGTTTGGCGAATGGGCTTTGGATTTGGGACTTGAAGCTTCGACAACGTGCATGGCACCGAGTTAGAGCCTACGTCAGAAAGCCCTCGCAGAGCCATATTCAGCATCGGAACGCCGTGCGAAACAAGGTTTTAATCTCATCGAGCTGTTCAATCGCCTTCGTCACATATATTGAAAATCAACATCAAAGGCAACACTGTGCCGAATCTCGGTGTTATCTGGCACGAACTTTAGCACCTTGTCCTTGAGCTTGCGGGTTGCTTCCTGCTTGGTATGGTGCTTACGAACACCCCATCCAAGGGAAGCACCATTACCACGGGAATATCATTCACGTCGTCCTCAAGGTAATCCCTGATGAACTCGTCGGTGGAAAGCCTACCGCCAGCAATCAGCAACCCGAAATCGCGGTAGCTGATGACACGCTTGCCGCTGCGCTCGTTGATGCGATTCACGGTTAGTACCCCCAAGAGGACACCCCGAACATGCATGTACCGAACTCTTAGAAAAAGGCCTTACTAGACTCACTGCACCAAAACCCTGATACAAGTATTTTCTTGTTGGATGAAGTGTGGGAAGGTCTGCAGCATGTAATCCAACCCTTGGGGGGCTCATCTGTCGCCTATCGAAAGCTACGAGACAAGGGATAAACAGCCGCACAGAGCAAACTCCTGAACCTCCGTCTCAAAGCCGAAACGCCAACAGCCTACATAAAAGCCTCAAAAAAACAGACCACATGTCTCGATCCCGCTAAAAGCGCGTATACATCTAGCAAAAGCTCTCTACCCTTATGTAGGTTGCTGGGCTGTATCCTGCACAAACAGCTCTATCTGTAGTCTCCATTGTAGTTCCTTTTCTGGGTTACCTTCTAGGATCCTGAAATATGCTTGGTTAAACCAGAAAAAGGAACTACAATAGAGACTATTTGTACAGGAAGTATACTTACTCTACTACTAAGTACTGAACCCAACCTTAAAACGCTGAAACCTTGTGCCAAAAAGCCCTAAAAATGCACAAACATCTCTACATTCCGAAGATGACACCAGACGGAGACTGTGCGCCTTTGCCCACACCCTGGAGCTTGGTCACCCAATCCTTCAGAGGAGCACTTAATCATGGATTAGGGTTCCTTTGACGGGTTCCTTAAAAGGGATCTATAAGGCTTACTATAAGGGCTCTATACTACTGCAAGCATGATTCGTGCACGATTGTTCAGGTATGCGCTGTACTTAAACTTGCCGACTACAGGTTTATGGTAAGCGACTGACTCCTCTCTTATGTCTCCTTGAACAACATGTCACTTCGCCTGACCCAAGAGTCCGCTTCTAGTTACATCAGCTACGACTACGTCAGCATGATATTGAGATTCCGGTCAGAAAACTCGATAACCCAAACCCTACTACCCTCTAAGATACCCCGAATACCCATTCTCAAGGCCCATAAGGGCTCTGTTTAGGGGCAGCTGCCTGCATATAAAGCACTAAACCCAGTCGACTGCTCCAGCTCTGAAACAGGTTGAATAACTACGGTTGATGATGCAGCCCTGCACTTCTCACAATCAGAGATATACCATAAATCCCATGATTAGTGCCATTAAGGTAATGCAGGACTTGTATCATCAACCGTAGCAATAATATTCCCTTGTAGGCTTGGGTTACCCCTACTGGAACACAGCTCTGCTCGGCTTGTCGAGCTTACCAAACGTTACACCAAGAGTAGTGCATTCGATTGGTTTAGGGTTTAGGGTTTAGGGGGTGACAGTAGCAGGCAAAGAGTGAAACAAAAAGCATCGATAGAACCACTGGCACGACTACTAGGATACCCAGTAACCTAAGACTAAAAAGGCCTCTCTTTTTGGTATTGGGTAACTTTACAAGGAACCTAGGACTACAAAAAGGGAATAAGGGTACTGCTGGGCACCCTAGCAACAGTTCTAGCAACTTCAGGCAGCCATGTCGATTGCCACAAGGTTGTCATTGCATTCGGGCAGGACTCGTTAGTTGTATCGACGCCTCAACAATCAGAGAAATGGGCTTGGGGTTAATATAAGGCCATTCATAATTAGAATAGGTTTTGAGCCCATGGTACTATATTTCCAATAAGGACCCCCCCCCAAATAGCATTGGTAACTAGTTTGAGGGGCGCCCGAAGGGTGGGGGAGAGTCTGACGGGCAAGAGCCGCACCTTAGACCTAATTTGGTTTTGGTAAAACACCTTAGGCCGAATTAGGTCTGCCTGGACCCTGAGGAACCTACTTTTAGGGTTCCCTAATACACAAGTCCGTAAAAAGGAAGGTTGCTTGGGGTTAAGCCCTAAACCCTAAACCCCTAAACCCTAAACCGTGAAACAAGAAGTAACTGATGGAACCCGTCTGGGAGCATTGCTGGAACCAGTCTCCGAGCCATACCACAAGGGTCCAAAGGACCCAATAATTAGGGTTCCTTTAACGGGTTCTATAAGGTTCCTTTGAAGGGCTACTGTAAGGGTTCCATTATATGGGCCTTAATTTTTAGGTACTCGGTTTTAGGATAGTAGTTATGTAGGTTAGGATTTTGGAGAGTATGTGATTATTAGGCACCTGGAATGTTGGGGATGCAGAAGACTACGACTGCTTTGAACTACCCACTTTTCTGTCTAGGACCCGGGAAGGCACAAGTTTGCTGATCGATCCTACGGGCATGGCACACAATATCAACCCTACGGGCTCACGTGCTCGTATAGCATATACTTTGGCCTTGAAGTCATCCCTATATGGGTACTTCACCTAAAGGGTCATGGGACTTAGTAACTAGGGCTATCGAAAAGGCCACTATACTTGTAATTAATTATCAATGACCCCACTTCAAGGACATATGACTCCACTTGCTAAGTCCCATGATCCTCCAGACCAAAGTATATACTACTTGGGTACATGAACCCTAAGAGCATTAAACCGTAAAGTCAACACCTTTAAACGTCCATAGACCTCCTGAACCTCCAAGGGTAAAAGGAGGGACCCTTAATAAGGACCCCTAGGTATATACCCTTAATATAGCTACTATATACCCAGTCTCCACTGTACTGTAGTTCGTCGTTCGGTGGGCGA